TACAGTTTCAAGCCAACCTTGCCCTCAGTGTACCATTTCTGATAACTAAAGATTGCACCCTTAATCCACCTACACATCTTGGCTTACAAATCTCACTCCAAGCCACATAATATAATCCCTTCTTCCCATCCGGCTTGTTCCAGATAAAATTTCTGCACATTTTCTCAATTTCATATAGAATTTTCTTAGGAACAATGGAATGTGTGAGTATAAAATTTGGCATAGAAAGTAAAGAAGTCTTCAATAAAGTAATTATGCCTCCCAAAGACAAAGACTTCTTACCCCACACATTTAATCTATCCATTACTTGACTCAAGAAATCCTGAAAGTCAGCCAACCTTAATCTCCTTAGAGATATCTTTATACCCAAGTACTTCCATTCCTTCACAACTTTGAACCCAAGTATTTCAGCCACCTTCCTTTTATGATATCTTATACCAGCTTTCCCAAACAAAATTTGGGACTTATTGATGTTCACTTTCTGACCTGTCCACCTACAAAAATCTTCAACAATTTTCCTCACTAATCTTGCCAAAGTACATGTAGCTTTTGAAAACACAAGCACATCATCGGCATAAAGCAGATGTGTAACCTTTGGCCCTCTTTGAGAAATCTGAATACCCAAATTCTGTCCCCTCTGCTCCATAGAATTTGACAACATTTGCGAACACATAATAAACAAATATAGGGAGAGTGGACATCCCTGCCGGAATCCACTACAAGCACTGATCCATCTCAGCATCTTCCCATTTAAGATAATAGAGAACCTCACATTCACCACGCATTCCATGAGAAATCCTGAGAAAACCGTAGGGAAACCAAACCAATTGAGAATTTGAAGTAAGGTTGATCATCCCATGCTATCATAAGCCTGTTCCATGTCAAGTTCACCGCCATCATCTCTTTTTTGTTCTTTGAGATTTTAAATTTGTTAAAAAATCTCATGAGCTAAAATGCAATGCTCAGATATGGATCTACCTGGAATGAAAGTCATATGCTCTTCAGAAATCATTTTGGGCATAAGCTTCTTCAGCCTATTTACTAACATAGTAGCTACAATCTTGTAAGTAGTTTGACATAAGCTGATATGCCAAAAATTAGATGGTACATTTGGATTCTTTACTTTGGGTATAAGAACAATCAATGCATCTTTCCATTCTTTGTGCATACTACCAGTAGTAAAAAATTTCCTGATAGCCTTCCAAGTAATGTCTCCAACTAGTTTTCAATAGCATTTAAAAAAAAGGAGGTCACGCCATCAACCCCAGGTGATTTATTATTACCTTACTGGAATACAGCCTCCTTACATTCTTCCAAGAGAAATTCTGCCTCCAAAGCTTTTCTATCCAACAAATTCAGTCTCTGTTCCTCAGCAATCACAGGCCAACCAGTCAACTGACATTCTTCGCTTCTCCATTTTTCTTCAAAAATTTGAAGAAAAACCTGCTCAATCAGCTCCTCATCTTCCACCATTTGGTTATTATCATCTTTGATTTGTCTTATCAACTTTGCATTTTTCCTAGCCGATGCAAAGTTATGAAAAAATTTTAAGTTTGTATCCTCTTCCTCTTGCCATCTAGCCTTAGCCCTTTGATTCCACCAAGTAGATACTCTTTTAAGAGTAACATTGAGCTCATGAACCTTGCTCCTAAGCATGAACAAGTCTTCAACAGAAAAAGCATCCACCGAAGCCTCTTTAGTCTGTAACTCCAGAATTTCTCTCTTCAATTCTTCTTTCAGTTTACACAAATCCTTACATTTGTTTTTACTCAAAAAGAATAAAGCTCGCAGCGTCCTTCTAAGCTTTCTTTGAAGAACCTCCACTTCATTCCCAAAATCCTTTCTCTTCCAAGAGTTATAAACAATATTCCAAACCGCCGGATATGATCTCCAAGTATCTTCAAATCTAATGAACCTTGTTTTGTTAAGCTGCAAAGTTTCCAATTTAAAAATAATTGGACAGTGATCAGACGCCACCCGAGTGCCGCACCTTTTCAGAAGGAACCAAATGTAAAGATGCTGAATTCAGCAAGCATCTATCCAGCCTTTCCCATATCCTTGAAGCTCCCTCTTTGTTATTGCACCAAGTAAAATTTGGTCCAACAAAACCTACATCATGTAAATCAGTGTTAGTCATAAAATCTCTCATCTCCCTAGAACCTCTAGACAAGAGGAACCTCTTCCCACCCTTCTTCTCATCACTACTCAAAATACAATTAAAATCCCCTCCTACAGACTCCAAAGGCTCCTCCTTTCAACATAACAGTTACTACCATAAAAAGTTGCCACCTTCCAAACACCCAAAGAGGGTGTGGTAAGATCCCCTACTACCACTTGAGAAGAGCTATTCTCAACCACAAAAGAAGCCACATTCATATTCCATAAAACCAAAATTCTCCCAGAAGTACCAACAGCTGGGAGATGGAAGAAATCCAAACTACTACCAATCAGGCTGTCCACATCCCTTCTATCAACCTTATTAAGTCTAGTCTTCACAATTCCAAAATAAAAAACATCATAATCCCTAACAATCTCCTTCAAATATAGAGAGGCCTCACTCTTTCTGTCTCCCCTACAATTCCAGAAGACAATGGATGACATTAAACCAACTGAGGGGAACAATCCCCGCCTTTCATACAACCTTTACCATCTCTTCTCTTCTTCCTATGCTCGGGTTCAAGAGGCCCCAAAGACTTCACCTCTTTGGCCAATTTGAGCTTGACCACATTACTGTTAACAGCAACAGCATTCTTCGAACCATCTAAGATTACTTCAGCATTTTTCACTACATCCATAATTTCTTCATCAGCCAAATTTGCTAGTGATTGCTCCACTGTGAGATGATTTACTATTTCACCTTCTTCAATGTCTTCTATTAAAGCTTCAAACTTATTATTTACATCAATGTTCAATCCCAATCCCGTATTATTCTTCACCAAATCAAAATACTTGCCATTGTCCACATCCTGTTGATCAATATGTGCCATTTCTGTATCCACCTCCTTCACACCTTTTTGATATGTAATCTGCACATCATGATTCATCGTTTTCAAATTTCTTCCATTCCTCCCACCCTTTGCATATCTTCTCTTTGTAACTTTCCTGTTCTTGAACCAAACAAGAATCCATGGTCCATAGTCATTCCCATGAGCTTCACCATCAGCATGAACTGTCTCAACACTTGTTGCATTATGTTTATTTCCAGTCTTCTCGCTAGTAACAGGCCTCAAGCCCAGAGGACATACCTTTTTATCATGACCAACCTTGCCACATTGATAACAAAATAAGTCTATTTTCTCATACTCTATTTTCTGAAAAAATCGGCATGCTATGCCATCAATCCAAACTCCATTTGGAAGGCTATTCTTCAAGTTTATTCTTACGCACACCCGGGCGAATTCTCGTTTTCCCCATTTAAATGAATTTCCATCCACCTACATCGGTACTCCAATTTGCATAGAAATTCTAGCAATGTTCTCTTCGTCACAGCAATAAAGAAGTAAACAGGGAAGATGAACCCAAACAGGTGCAGTGATGCCTTTAAATGAATTGGGATTGAACAACGGCGACCATTTATCCATACCCACAATGTATCCCCCCACGTACCACGACCCACCATTTAAGACTTCATCCATTGCTACCTCATTTTTAAACGAGTATGGAATCCAATTCATACCAAGCAATGTCATGTGAAAACTTCCAAACCTATTCCACTGCCTTCTTAGTCTAAGCTGCATATCGGAAATGATATTTTATCTCCTAAAACCTTGATTACCAGTGAGTATTTTAGCAATTGTGAATTCAACAATTCCTTATCAGCATTTAATTTGACAGCAATTCCGTCCTCCGACATCTCAGCAAGATCACCGTTAAAGGAGATCTTGATATGCTGGGGTTTCTTCCATGCTTCACTGAATTATGCCTTCAACTCATTTCTATTAACAATTCCATCCTCAATCCTGACCTGATTAGCCTTTGTCAACAAATCCTCCTCAAGAACATTGCCGGTAAATTTCCCATGGTTTCCCAAATCATCCGTTTCAGATACTATATTACGGCCAACAAGATCCTCATTGTTTCTTACGAATTTATTTACCTTTAAAATCAAACCCGCAGATGATGACACCTCAGAATTTCGATTTCCATCAATACCTCTTTCCTTTGCAAGATCTCTATCACCGTCCACGCCTCGTTACATCACAACCTTCTTGCATTTTCCTTCCACAACCACTTCTTGCCAGATCGGAGGTCGAGCGACCTCCCTGATCACAAGATTATTACCACTCCTACCAACCAACCGATCTGTTCCAAAAGAACGAACCTCCGTTCGACGATGTGCAATAGAAGAGCGGCCAGAGGACTGCCGATTATCATCAGAACGACGAACGGGGGCCATGGATCCAAGCAACCTCCGTCCGATAGTCCGCTGCCTCCAAAACCACCGTCCGCAGATAACCCGCGAAAGCAGAAAAATTCAAAAAAAAAAAAAAAAAAACGAGTTTCTTTCTCTCTCTCTCTTTAGAAAATCCGAGAGCTTCTTTCTCTTTCGATTAGATGTGCATTTTTTACTTCTGATTTTATCATAATTGCACTGAGGTTGATATATTGTAAAATTTTAAATAGTGCTTTAGGGTATTCTTTTTTTTTTTTTGTCTATCTATTTATTATCCTATTATTTAATGAATTTAATTTGTGTAATGTTATTTTATAGGGAAATTTACTTACATACCATTTTATACAATTCTATTTATATATCTAATATCTAAAACTTCAATATTACATTTATACTATCCTATATTATTTTAATATCAAATATAACATTCATATTTCCTTCCTATAATTCATATATTTCATTTCTAATATTCATATTTGATATGAAAATGAACTATATATGATATATATGTAATATTAAAATTTTAGATGTTAAATATATAAATAGAATAATATATAATAATATATATAAATCTCCCTATTTTACATTGACACGAGTCAATTATTGGTTCCCACGCGCGCTAAAGATGATATCTCGCTGCTCGTTCCTGTTACCCACAAGACTCGCTCTTAATTTCTATCCACTACTTCGCCGCCGCCTCGGCTTGCGACGATCATCTCTTATAGATGGTCAACAGTCCGCGACCGATGATCGATCCTCCCCCTCCGCTTCTCACAGCGTCTTCTCCCGCGTTGCCACCGCCGATATCTCGCCTGATACCCTCGCTTCCTGATGACCTTGCCATCCTCTGCATCGCTCGAGTCCCGCCATCGTATCACCCCTTGCTCGCCGCTGTATCACGTGCGTGGCGCACCTTTCTTCGCTCCCCTCTCCTTTTCTCCGTCCGCCTCGAAGTCGGCGCGTCGCAGTCCTTCCTCTTCATCAGCATCCACACTCTTATTGACCAATCTCGTTGGTATATCCTTGATCGTCTCTGCTGGAATCATTCCCCTCTTCTTATCCCACTCCCTGCGCCGCCCCTTGTCTCTCCCCTCGGTTGCACAGCTGTCTCCCTTGGTCACTCTCTCTTCCTCCTCGGGGGCTCTATCGACGGCATTCCCTCATCCGTCGTACAAATATACGATGCCCGATTCAATTATTGGCGTCTCGGCCCCCATATGTCTGCTTCCCGCGAGTTTGCCGCTGCTGGTGTCATTTCTGGCCGGATCTACGTTGTAGGTGGCTGCCACCCCATCAACAAGTATTGGGCTGAGGAATTCGATCCGGAGAAGGAGCGATGGAGGCGGATCTCAAGCCCACCGGAGATCCGAGAGAAGTGGATGCACGGAAATGCAGTTATTGGGGGAAAGCTGCTTGCGATGGCGGATCGTGGCGGTGTGGTATTAGATCCCGCTGTGGCTGCGGCAGAGGCAGAAGTTATGCAGGATAAAGCATGGAGTATGGTGCCAACAACGCTGGATCTAGGGTGGAGGGGTAGGGCGGCCGCTGTGGGGGAAGTTCTTTACTCTTATAGTTACCTGGGGAAGATCAAAGGGTATGATTTCACGAACGACGAGTGGAGGCCACTGGACGGACTGGATAAGGAGCTACCAAAGTTTTTGCATGGAGCAACACTGACCAATTTGGGTGAAATGCTGTGTTTGGTTTGGGAAGGGAAGAGGAAGGGCATGGAGATGGAGGTCATTTTTGCTGGAATTAGGGTTACCAAAACAAACAACGGGGGTTTGCTGGGATCTTTGGTCTGGTTGGAAACGTTTGTTTTGGCGTTTCCGAAGGGAACATTCATTTCACAGTGCATCTCGCTGGAGTTCTGATCTGAAAATGGTTTACTGGTATGATATTTATTTCTTTTGCTTTTATTTATTGTTTATTTGCTTCTCTTGTCTAGATTTGTACTTTTCATGCTCTAATGTTTTACTACATGGAATTGTACTTAGTAATCCTATCTCATATGGTTATCTAGCATACATGAAGAATGATTTGGTTTGATGTGATAGGCCAAATTTTCGAAATGAGCATCGTGCAAGTGACATTTAGGTGAACGAGCAGACTTTTTAAATAATTTGTAAACAAGCGGATGCGCCGCTTGTTTTGGTGCGCTATTCAAATAAGCGCATTTTGTTGTAACAGAATTACAGGGTTTCGAACTCAGTGAAATGCGCTGAAACACTAAGCGCATTCTAAGAATGCACGTTGTTCAGTCCGACGCATTCAATGCAGATTGGCTGGCTGACAGCTCAATTTCTGCGATTTTTTGTCCATAGCGTGGGCAAGATTTGCCATTTTCGTGAATGCAGGTGCGGAAATTGATGGTGGTCATTGAGTGCGAGTGGTTGGCGGATGAAAATTGAAGAGGGGTAGTAGAGATGAAACAACTTATAAAATGAGACAAACGCAATTGGTTTTCTCCCACTCTTCCTCCAGCCCTCTCTTCCTCAAGCTCCCAGTTATCACTTTCTGAAGGTATGTTTTATTTTTTTTAGTTATATTAAAAGTTTTCTGTTAATTTTGTAATTTTTACTGTTAGAGTTTTCAACATATGTTACTTGAATTAATATTGTAAGTTAATATTGTTGTAATTTGTGTAATTTGTTATGGTGTATGTGTTGCAATTTATTTTTCATTTTACATTATTCTGTTGATATTAAGTTGAAATGTATGAAATGTTTTATAGATAAATTTTTGTTAAAGCACAAATAATTATGTGCAAGTGTAAGTAAAGGAGATGTGTCGACCAAATTTATTAATGCGCGTATGTAACTTATTTAATTTTATTTTTTTTACTAGCTTTAATTTATGATATTATTTATAATAATTTTTGAATTAAAATTTGAAAATCCCAAAATATTAGCTAAACTTTTTTTTAAGCCAAGTTGAATGGCTCAATTAAAATGATTAAATAAATTAATTATATTGATAAAATTGTAGTGTAAATCAAATACAAATTTATAGAGGCATTCACAATTTCTTTAAGTTATTTCTTTAAAATTTTGTGGTGAGATAATTTATAGGCTTTATATTAAGTATTTATGCTATGAGTCGTTTTAGTTGTATGTTGATAGAAACTAAAATGTGGAAGTCGAATATTTAAAAAAATTAATTTTTATTCTTTTTTCCAAATATCAAAATGATTTTAAAAATTTTGTTAAAATTTAAAGCAAGCCATTAAGTTGAATTGATAGTTATGGAAGGAAGTTAAATATATATCAATAACATCTTGATAAAATATAATTTCTTCTGAAAATCTTATTGATATATATATATTTAACTTCCTCCTATATTTATAAATACAATTTAATGACTTGCTTTAAATTTTAGCAAATTTTTTAAAATTATTTTGGTATTTGGATAAAAATATAAAAGTTAGTTTTTTTTAATATACGGCTTCCACATTTTAGTTTCTATCAACAAAAAACTAAAACGACTCATAGCATAAATACTTGATATAAGGACTATAAATTATCTCACAACAAAATTTTAAAGAAATAGTTTAAAGAAGCTGTGGATGTCTTTATAAATTTGTATTTGATTTATTACTATAATTTTATCAAGATAATTAATTTATTTAATCATTTTGATTGAGTCATTCAACTTGGCTTAAAAAAAATTTAGCTAATATTTTGGGATTTTTTAAATTTTAATTCAAAAATTATTATAATTAATATCATAAATTAAAGCTAGTCTTAAAAAAACAAAATTAAATACCAAAATTAAATAAGTAACAAATGCGCATAAATAAATTTGTTCGACGCATCTCTTTTACTTACACTTGCGCATAATTATTCGTACTTGAACAAAAAATTATCTATAAAACATTTCATACATTTCAACTTAATATCAACAAAATAATATAAAATGAAAAATAAATTGCAACACATACATCATAACAAGTTACACAAATTACAATAACATCAACTTACAACATTAATTCAAGTAACATATGCTGAAAACTCTAACAATAAAAATTACAAAATTAACAAAAAAATTTTAATATAACTAAAAAAATTAAAACATACCTTCAGAAATTGATAGCCGGGAGCTTGAGGAAGAGGGGGCTTGAGGAAGAGTGGGAGAAAACCAATTGCTCATGCCCCCTTTTATAAGCTGTTTCATCTCCACTATCTTTCTTCAATTTTCATCTGCCAACCACCGCACTCAACGACCACCATCAATTTCCGCACTTGCATTGGCGAAAATGGCGGATCTTGCCCCCGCTACGGACAAAAAATCGCAGAAATTGAGCTGTCAGCCAGCCAGTCCGAACTTAATGCGCTGGACTGAACAACACATTCTTTTGCATTCTAAAGAATGCGCTTAGTGTTTCAGCGCGTTTCACTGAGTTCGAAACCCTGTAATTCTGTTACAACAAAATGTACTTATTTGAACGGCGAATTTGTTGGGCGCATTCTTTGAATGTGTCAAAACAAGCGGCGCATCCGTTTGTTTACAAATTATTTAAAAAGTCTGCTCGTTCACCTAAATGTCATTTGTACGGTGCTCGTTTCGAAAATTTGGCCTTTATTTTTCCTAAATAGGGTTGTTTTCTGATGTAATAAGTAAATTAATCCTTTGTCACTGATTTGTTTGAAACCTTTCAGGTTGGTTACACAACCACGTGTACTCAAAAGTGTTTAATGTTCCATCATCATGGTCATTATCCCAACAATTTGGGTTGGCTTTATACAGGGCTTGCAAGGGCAAAATCTTAAGAAGGAAAGCTTAAAAAACTGAAATTAACTGTTGGAACGCGAAGGTGCAAAATTTTAAAAAGAAGAAGCTCGATTTTGTAAGGGTATTTTGCCTTGCCAAGCAGGCATGTGGCCGCTTGTGTGGTAGGATGAAACAGCCTTACATAGGGTGAATTCACTTTTTTTTTAAAATTGAATTTAATCGTAATAGACCTGGTCATCTATGTCATGTTAACTTATATTTGTAATTTGCTCGAGTAATTTAATACGAGACCCAGATAAATACATGTAAATCACTTGTATGTTTGTATGATTTTGTATGTTCTATTGTTATAGACTCTAAATTTATTTTACTTCTCATGTATATGTTTGTTGATATTCTTAGGTTGTTGCAGGGTTTATAATATATAGATATGATAAAAAAATGATATTATAATAGGAAATATTTGCAGAAATTGAACAATTCACTGCTGAAATTTGAAATTTCAACAAGATAAAACAGAAATTGAGGGAAATTTGATGGAAAAACACAAGGAAATTTTGATAATTATATAATATGGGAGATCCAATTTGCCTAATCCCTAGCCGACAGCTATAAACACAACTAAAATAATACATTTCCAGTGAATTTTAACACAATAAGCAGTATAGAATTTATACTTAACAAAATTCACATGCATAACTATGAATTATTTAAATGCATTCAAATGATACCTTTTCTGATATATACATTCAAATCATAACAAATATTATTTCTTTTCATACACTTGTAAGTAATATATAAATGATGAAAAAGTGGATAAGATTCTTATATGTCTTCTTGAATATTATGATGCCAAGAAATACAAATTTAGCCAAGACATGCATAACCCTAACCCTAGGATGAAAATAACTATTAAAAGTAAACAATACAAAGTAAAAAGTCCAAACATCCCCTTCAATTCAAATTTCTAGCTCGCCTGCTCCTCTCTGTCTTCCTTAATGTGTGTACCCCACCCAAATAAAGTAGGCTAAGCTTGGGAGGAACCAGGCTTCTGCCTGGTATGGACATAGGTCAATCCCTTCTGAACCGACCGGCCCAGGACCTGCCCCTCGTAGGCCGGTCTAACATATTACTTAAAAGGATTAATGGCCCAATGGTTAAAGGGGAGAAAGTTATTCATCTAAATTTTTTAGTTCAAGCCAAATGTTTTGCAATTTATAGCTTGCCATTCCAAAAGTTTTGTATGTTCTAGCATACTATGCACACAATCTTTCCATCACATGTATTTGTTGGCCTATCTTTTGTATTATCTCACGATCTCTATTTTTTGAAAATTCACCTATCAAATTTTTTTTTTCATAATCACACCTTCAAGAATTCATCATATTGATATGATGTAGAAGAACTTTCAACCAATCAACAAATCACAAGAGAAATTGAGAAGAAGACACCACAAATCTTTTTTATTTTAGAGAATATGAAAGAGAACAAACAAGATACAGCAGATCTTCAATTGGAGAGGAAGATCTGGCTCTCCCAATTCTCTAACCGACGGCTAGAGCTCTCATAACCTAAGAATAAACTAAATTCAACAAACAAATAACATATCCTAACCCTTGGGTAAATCAACTATTTAAAGCAAACAATAAACAATAAAATACCAAAATAGCCCTTCCCAAATTCCCTTTCAAATCAGCTCCAAATCTGTCATATTTCTTTAATTCTTTTCCTCCCAAATCAGCCCCCAAATCAGCCCTTTTCAATTAGAAAATATTTTCTAATTAACCCCCTCGAAATCAGCCCCCAAATATGCCCTTTTCAAGTATGAAGCATCTCCTAATTAATTCCATCTAAATCAGCCTCTTTCCCTTAATAAAACATTCATATTTCTCTCGTAAATTTAATTCAAATAAGCTATCTTTCCCTAAATAAAGTTTACTAATTAGTTCTCCCATATCTCTCCTCCTTATATAGTGAATATTAACTCCCCTGGTCCCCCCTAGCATATAAATACTTTCCCCCCAAAAAAGCACCATGTCCTCGAAGTGGAAGATGAGAACAATCTCCTGATCATCTCATATAGCTCCCATGTGGCTTTGTACTGTGACAAATCCTTCCACCTGATAAGTGCCTACTAAACAATAAACCTAAGATGCTGAGAACAAATTGGTAGCTCAATAAGATCATTCTTTGAGATTATTATTTTTTTATGCTGAGAAGGAGATCAGCCAAGGTTAACTAGGCTAACTAAATGCGATGGGGCCGATTTCTTTTAATGGTGGCAGCGGCTAAGCTGGAATATAGGGGCTCGTTTGGTGGTTTTTTATGTTACAAATGATGTGGTGGAATGCAGGGAAGAGTTATTGGGTGTGTAAATATGTGGTTTATTGCTTGAGAGGTCGGATTTGCCGAGAATAGGTAAAGGGGGAGGAAAAGGTTGGGGGGTGCAGAAAGGTTTTGAGGGATGATAAAAATGCTGAAATTACGTAGATGTTCCCTTATGAGTGAAGAAGAGATATTGGAAAGAGGAGGATGAAAATTAAAACTTCCACCAAGCTCCAAGAGATAGGGGTGGCCACCAAGTGCAAAGAGTTTCAAACTTCAGATTTTGTAAGCATCCAACAATTTATTGTCCATTCATTCATAATCATATTTATAGCTTAATATATAACCCATTCAAATTCATGATAAAATTCAAAAATGATTTTAGAGGGTGAATTGTGTTGAGGTTGAAGTGACCAATCAGAAAGATGAGGCTATCAAGCATTTATGATCAAACTTATACCACCAATGCATGACAACTCCTTACTCTCCCCTTCTGCAAATATTTTTACAACTACACATATTTACATCATTAAAAAAAGAATTTATTTTTTAAAAATTTAAAATATATGCCAAAAGTCCAACATTCTTCATAATAATAGTTTGGGCTTGGGCCTAACTTGTGATCTTTGGGGTCGTCGAAATTTTCTTTGGGTTTACATATTGTTTCTTTGAGCTTCCTTCTTGTCTTCATAGTGACTCTAAGGTTTCATTTGGGGCCACTTTCTTGCTGCTTTTAAAACAGGTTTTTTAGTAAAAAATTTAAATTTTTATATTAAAAAGTTATTTTGAGAAGTATTAAGAAAGTCGTCTCAAACGACTGAAATCATATGTATGAGTTTTCTTTATTTTCTGCATGGGGAACTGACAATATTTTGAATTTTAATTCCGCTTACATCACCATCACCATTAACTCACACAACATTACGGGGTTGGGTGAAAAGAAGTTTGGATTGGGTAAACTGGCTCTACATACAGTCGAAAGTCATCCAGCCATCACATCCATGGATTTAATCTCCAGATATATGATACTTATGGTGTCTTTCTTAAGGCTTTTCAGTATAGTGAGTTCTACATCTAATTGCCAAAACATTTTTGCACGGCAAAACTATAACATCTGCGCCAACTCAATTACTAATTAAACACCTTTGCTTAGTGTTTTATTTACATAAACTATAACTGCATTTGACAAAACATCAACAAAAGAAACGACATCTGGAACTAACTTGTAGAACGGTTACTTTATTTGAAAGAATCATAACAATGAACCTCCTCAACCCACAATCTCAACTTCCTTGAATTCCTTCTCAATGGATTCCTTCACAGCATCAAGCACAACCTGTGTCTTCCTACTAAAAACTGACCATTTTTTCTCAGGCTTGGCTCCCGAATCTTTGATTTCTCCAACCAATCTTGAAAACTCGGTGATCATCAGAGCTTCCTGCGGAAAAAAGGTTGAGACAACCTTCTTGCTGGGCAATGACTTCCATCCTGTCACGAGCTCCTTGAAACCAGAATCAGAGACAAAGGTGAATGGAGCGGAGTTCTCTTCAAAAGGAATTACGAAGTCACTAAGGGATAAATTTCCTCTGGATCCAACGGCTACAAGTTCAAATGTTAGGTGGGCGAGGAAGGAGCAGTGAAAAGTTGCAATGGTTCCATCTTCCCAATGTAAAGAAGCTCCACATGAGAGTATTAGACCAGCTTCATTCTTGACTGCGTTAGGAAAAGCTACAGCGGTTTTGGGTAAGTTGTAATCCGAAGCCCATAATATGGCGCGGATACAGTACCAGCCAATGTCACCAAGAGCTCCAAGTGAATCAAGGTCAGCCTTCACACGTATGTTATTCTGTAGGAAATTACTGTCCGCATAAACGCTTGCTATGCTGCTCACCTGCATATATATTATTATTATAAATGTTGTGAAATTTAGAGAATAATTTGGTGTGGTAGATGTTAAATTTGATTAAATTTTATTGAAATTATTTGTTTAGATTTATGATTTAAATGAATAGAAGAGAAGATGTAGAAGTGTACATTTCTTTAATTTTATTGCCTCTCGGTTTCTGAATTTGGGATTTAGTTTAAAATGGAAGGGAAATAAGATTTTAACAACTACTACATCAAGCTTTTATCCCACTACGTGGGTCGGCTACATGAATCCTTTTTCTCTATTATGTCCTATTAAAAGTCAAATTCTCGTTTAAATTTAATAAAGAAAGATCATCTCTAATATTTTCTAACCAAGTCGTTTTACGTCAGCCTCTACTTTTTTTAACATAAGTCAAATCTAACACCTCTACTTTCCTAATCGGGTCATCGGAAGGTTGTCGTTTTATGTGACTAAAGTATCTAAGGTGACTCTCTATACTCTTATCTTCTACTGGAGCTACTCCAACCTTTTCACGTATATGCTCATTTTGTATCCTATCTCTAAGGGTAAAGCCACTCATCCACCTGAGCATCCTCATCTCTGCCACCCTTAACTTAGTATTATGCTTCTCTTTTAATGACCAACATTCGGCACCATAAAACATTGCAGGACTCACCACCATCTTATAGAATTTTCCCTTAAGTTTTGAGGGATACTTTTTTATCACGCAACAAGTCAGATATATTCCTCCACTTAAACCATCCAACTTGAATTATGCTAATTAGATTTTAAAAGATAGTAAAATTTATGTGGCTTATAAAATTATTAGGATAATTTTATAGATAACACTTAAATCTTAATTATTTATAAAGTTGATATCTTTTGTTTTTGTTTTTTATATTTTTATCGAGATACTAGATACACGATAAAATAGTAAAACATATTTTTTATTCCAATTAAATTCTTTTTTTTTTGGACATTTAGGCCATTTAAGGCAAACTCACACACACAACGCATACACAAAGACTCGAACCCAAGACCTCTTAATTGGAAGCATAAGCTCTCAACCAACAGGCCAAGGTGAGCTGTGTTCCAATTAAATTCTGAATGACTTGATCTTGATATATTTATAAATACACAATTTTATTGAATAAAACCCTTGGGTGTGAGTCTTGTAAATAAAGAAGATTTTGATGTTAAATGTATAAAATTTTCAAATCTAGCTTAAAATTAAATTTAGAAGTATTGTGAGAAGAAGAATTTTTTTATTATTATTACGAGTATTATAAAATTATCATAATTTTTTTATAAATTCTAATATGAGTTTTCTTATAACTATCAGGCTATATAGCATGGTTGATTATAAAAAATTACTTCTTATTTAAAAAAAAAATTGTAAGCAAAATATGAATAAATAGAAACAAAATTGAGAAAATATGGCCAAGCAATCAAACAGCCGGGAGTGTTGTTTCTGAACTTACCATCTTCAACTGGCCAAATTGATCAGAATTTCTGAGAAAATCCTCCATTTCAGCAGTACGAGGGTGGTGGACCCACATGGTGCCGTCCATGAACTGCACGCCGTTGGTCTCACAGGCTTCGAGGATCTGGTCAAGATCCGCGACGCAGAGCGCCGTCGGCTTCTCGATCAAGATGTGTTTACCCTTGCCAGCGGCGGCCACCGCCCAGCGGAGGTGGAGGCTCGTCGGCAGCGGTAGGTACACGGCATCCACCTCTGCATCGTCAAGCAGAGATTCATAGCTTCCGTACGGCCGCGTGGTCGCCGGCAGGCCGTTGTCGGCAATGAAACGGCGGGCTTTCTCTTCGGATCTGCTTCCGACGGCGACGATGGTGGCGTTCGGAGCGAGTTTGATGGCGCGAGATAGCTTGCGAGCTATGTCCGCACAGCCCACGATACCAAATTTGATAGGCTGAGCCATCTCTGCTCGATCTGTGATCTGAAGGAGATCAAGTTTGCAAGGACTCTTTTTGAGTGGTGGACGTCAGATCAGTGCTCCTTTTATAGAGTTCGCGAATCCTCTCGGTTTTTCTTGCAACTTTTTTTTTTTCTTCGCTTTTATATTGGGTTAGGATATTATGATAATTAGTTATTTTGATAAGAGTATTAATGTATTATATAAAAATTAATTAATTATTTATATTTTTATATTTGTTTTAAAATAAATGTAAAGGTTTTCAAATAAATTTAAAGATTTTAAAATTAATGCTTTTTAAAACTTGATTAGTGCATGATTATTTTTTTTATCTTTTTAATACTTAGAATTATATATAACGCTCATATTTTATTTATTTATAAAATGAAATAAATTTTTTTAAACTATGAAACTTATGTAACATTCGTATCATGATCAAATTATTAAGAATTTATTTAAAACAAAAAAAAAAGGATTTTATCGTGAAGTAAATATTTAGGTCATAATTTAAAATTAAACATAGGATAATATTAGCTCTATAAATAATCAAAATTTAAGTATTATGCATGTAATTAACTTTGATGTTTATTTTATTCATTTCTATTTGCCAATATTTTTAAAAGCAGTGTAATATGAATTGAAATTAAGGCTTCGTTTGAGACTGCTTTCTTACTGCTTTTTAAAGCGGCTTTTTAGTACAAACATTTTAATTTTTGTACTAGAAAGCCACTTTAAGAAGCAAGAAGAAAGCCGTCCCAAACGAAGCCTAAGAGGAGCCGAACATTGTAATAATTTAAAAATGAGTAGATACATAAAAATAGGAGATACGAAATTTTCGTATTTTAGAATATGTATAATCATTTTTTGAAGTCTAACGAATACACAATATTATTTTTTGAAGCTCGGTGATTATGTGAAACAGTTTCATGCATTCATTAGATTATCTAAATTGATAAAATTTTAATTTAATTATATTTTATATAACCATTTTAATTAAATAATATTTATTAGTAAATTATATGCATTTAATTATTATATCACTAAATATTTAATATAAATTTTATTAGTCAATATAATATTTATAGTTTTATATCACTAAAGACACAACTTAATCACATAATTAAAAACCAAAATATAAATTATGTGATTTAAGGAGAGGATATTGTTCCAAACTATTTAATTTATAGTTTATCTAATGGACATTATGATACCAAATTTGCCCATTTTTAACATTTGGATAACTCGTTCAAAGGTGGACAAGGGGAGGAAAATTTAGTGGAGAGGGAGGGATATATATATATATATTCAAATTCATTTAATGGTAGCCCTAATTTACTCCTAAATATAATTTGTTGCTATGATTAGTCGATAGTAGATATCTTTCTAACCATATTCTCCTCCTAACGAGTCACATACAATTTGATTAAGAATGCAACGTTCTATGCTCTTCATCATATTTCAATGAGCCAATTAGAAAATATTAACGAACTATACGAGAGCCCTTAAGACCAATAACCACAACAAACATATGTCTGGATTGATTCTATATTTTGGTGGTGAGCTGCAAATTATGGAGGACTTCACACCTACATATATTGGTAGAAGGAATCAGCCTCTAAAATTGAATGAGATATTAACGCGAACTCAGCTTAAACTAAAAATCATTTGGGTTTTTTTGTCTTGATAACTCTACATAGATGGTTAATCTCATTTGTCGTCTTCGTAATAATAGAGGCTACTCTACCACGCACATCAAAGATGACAAAGTCTATGAATTCATGTTAATTGAAGCAACAACGCATATTATATCCTTGTAATAGCTCGTATTTTAATATAGTTAAATAAAAATTTTCATGTCTCATTATAAGTTCAAATCACAAACTATCTTCATCATAACAAAAATATTATAATAATTTAATTACATTAATTTTTCCATAACTTTTGGGCACTGGTACAAATCTTTAAGAAATTGACACTTATCAATACAAGTGCAGATTTTGAGACTATCGAGTGTCTGTTTTGCAAATTAATTTCATCCATTTTATTTAAAAATTTCTGATGAAATTGGTTTGTAAAATGGACAGTTGACGGACCCAAAATCCGTATTTGTATCGACATATATCAATTTCTTAAGGATTTGAATGAGTGCTAAAAAATTATGAAGAAATTAATGTAATTAAATCACTATAATATATATGTTATGAGGAAGACGATTTGTGATTTAGATTTATAATGACTCCTAAAAAAATTATTTGATTGTGCTAAAATACGGGCTATTATAATCTACTAACATTACATTTTACTTAAGGATTAAGACACAAAATCGATATAAGCCAAATATGTATGATCAAAACTCAAATCAAATCAAACTCATAAAAAAAATCATAAAGTCATGAAGTTCACCCATGCAGGTCTGGTCATCTGGGTGTGGACTATGAAGTTCAGATGCGAGGTGAGCGTGGGATTGCATTTTGCAGGCGAGGTGAGTGCGAGATCGCTGATTATAGAGTTTGAATGTGAGGCTAGCGCAGTGCGAGCCTAGGTGCGAATTGTGGAGTCCGGAGGCGAGGCGAGTGCGGGATCGTGCTGTGTAGTGCATGCGAGATTTCTGGGTCATTTTGAGTTTTCGAGTCAATCCAAACCAGATGCGAGGTGAGCGTGGGATTGCATTTTGCAGGCGAGGTGAGTGCGAGATCGCTGATTATAGAGTTTGAATGTGAGGCTAGCGCAGTGCGAGCCTAGGTGCGAATTGTGGAGTTCGGAGGCGAGGCGAGTGCGGGATCGTGCTGTGTAGTGCATGCTAGATTTCTGGGTCAACCCGGGTTGACGGTTTATTTTGAGTTTTCGAGTCAACCCAAACCTAACCGAATTTTATGAATAGGACAAAAAATGAAACCAAAACCCTACCCATTTAGCTAACAGGTTGACTCAAACATTAAATTTTTCAGGTTGGGTCTTGGTCAGGTTTTGGGTTATGTCAAATATTAACACCCTTACTAAAATTTTACAACTGAACTCAAAACACGACAAAACAATAATAATATGCATGTAATAATTTAGTTCATAACAATAACAATCAATATGATCATGAATTTGTGCAAAAATAAAAAAAATATAAAGACCGTAATAATTCATGATAATAAAATACTATCATTCGATATCAAAATCAAATCAGTATCTTATTATGCATGGTTAGTAATAAAAACCACATTCTCAGTAACAGAAAACCATTACAGTACGAATCAATAATGGAAGCTGTGACAGCGAATCAGTAACAATATCGGTATCATTATCAGCCAAATATATAGAAGTAATAGTAAAACAATATTGTAACGGTAAATCAATACTGCGATAGTAATTTAGTGCAATGAGTACATCCTAGTAATTGCACTAAATAAGTAAGGAGTTTTGGCTTAAGTGGTATTTTTCTAGTAATCAGTAATTGTTGGCTCAGTAAATATAGTTGCCTACATTTGCCTGTGTACTAATCATCTCCTCATAACTCTCAATCAATAATCACGTGAATCAATAAATGAAAATAACAAACCACAGTATTTAAATGGAAGCCCGTCGACCAAATCAGTCTCCTGCCAATGTCATTAAATAAACAGTCTTTACTTACACATATTATTACCAAAAGTAATATCAACCAATTATTACTTAATCATATGCTCATATTCATTCACAATGCTCGTACTAATAATTTGTTTGTATTAAAATATCAAAATTACAACTATGTGCAAATCATACAAAATGCAATAATTACTATTTTTATTCAGTGAAATTACTAAACCAACTAGTCAAAATGTACATAATAATAAGTATTCTAACGTAAAAAAAATAACTCGATGAAAGTTCACTAAATCTGAAAAAAAATGCAATAAAATCATTTTTGGAAGAAATCTAATGGCCGAAATTAAAATATTTGAAAATGGAAATGTGAGAGAAGTCACCTACAATGATTTGAAGAATTTGTTTGTAAAGGAGAGGAAGCGATGCGGCGGTCAAAAACCCATTTTTTTCTCTCTCCTCCTTCCTTCCCCTTCTCTTCTTTCCTTCCAGGACAAGTCACAACTAAGTGAAGGAGTGGGGGAATATAGCAAATGACTTTTTAATATATTTAAAAACTCGTTTTAATGCATGTCACTACAACTACCAAGGAAACTAGAGCATCTATGCTGCATGCTGAATTCAGAATTATTGTACCACAGAATATTTCACAACAATAATTTCAAGTCCTATTACGTTTTAAAGCACAAATTCTAGCGCCCCACACCCTAGTTTAGATTGAAATTCAGATTCTCATTTTAAATTTATTTTAATTATCAGGTTGTTACATACTGACTTGAGACGTGACACTCGAGAGGGTGGTGGAGATTGCTGGAGGTGGCATTAGTTATGATAGTTATAAAATATAAGAGAGCTCTTTAATTCCCTCATCTCTTAAACATCTTATTTTGTAGAAAATGAAGTCATATTTATAACTTTTTTGAATGAGCATTTTGATAATTTTGACATAATGCCAAGCACATCATCATATTAATTGTAGATCATTTATTAGACATTCAAATGCCTTAGGTGTCAAAATCAAGTGATCAAGGACTTGTTGATTCGTCTCATCCGATTTAACTCTTAATATGCTATAATTATAAGTCATTTGATCTATTAATTTATATTTATAAGTTCCTAAATATAATTCATTTAGAGCCAGATATGATCATTTGTAGTTTTAATAAGTTTGAGGTGTTCAGTTTTACTATAAATTTGTTGAAACCATTCTCATAATTTCCTTCATGCTATAAACCATCGTCTTCCCATTCCTTCCCAGTTCTTTCGCTATCGAATCCATTCCTCTCGCGGGCAAACAAGAGCTACCTGGTCTCCTTCTTACAGGCGAAAACATGGCCACCGTTATGCAGAAGATTAAAGATATCGAAGATGAGGTAAATTTTTTGTTTTCATAATTTTTTCTCTCCTGTAAAAATATTGGCTTTATCCTCTCCGAAACCCTAGCTTGCTTACTCGGAGGTTTTTCAATCGGTGGCTAAATGTTCCTCCCCTCCTCCCGTAAAGCTCCGCTTAGGTTTTCCCTATTTCACCCGTGCCACTGTGGATCTTATTGGTTGTCGGCGACTCTAATTTAAAAAGTACATCAAACTATAGTGACGCTCTGAACTGTGTGGCACGTTATTTTCTTCCACAGACGAGCATAAGATTTATTCTCGTTTAACTATGTTAGATCCTAATGCGATCTTTATGGATGCAGATGGCCAGGACGCAGAAAAACAAAGCTACTGCTCATCACCTCGGTCTTCTTAAGGTGCCTCTGATACGTCTTTTTTTTCCCTGATAATAGGCCTATCAGGATAGCATCAAAATCTTTTTAGGAATTGTTTCTAGGTATTCGTGGTTGGTTTGACTTACAAATTGGCTAAATCATTGGGTTTTATTCTAAAATTTAGAAAATCAAATCAAACAAATTATTTTCAATCCCGAATTGAACCAAACTAAACTTTGATTAGTTCATTTGGTTGTGGATGATCGTTATATTTTAAAGTTCATTGGTTTTGTGCATTTGAAGAAATTAGACTAATTAGTATAGTTTGGTTTTTGATTTAATCAATTTTATAAAATAAATATCAAACCAGTTACTAATATTAAAAAAAAGTGAAAATTACAACCAATAATCTAAGTAATATTTTAACATATAAACTGAACCAACCAAATAAGATTTGTTTTATTTTTTGGTTTTATTCAGATAATTTACACCTCTAGTTATTTCACGTATATATTTTTAATTTGTTACTGTGTTTGTTTCATACTTTCATGTCAACACCTAAAGTTTGAAAGTTAGAGAATTGATGCTATTTAAAATGGAAAATGTCCATTTTCTCATACAAAATTAAGTTTTAATGATGACAAGAAAATCATTTGTCATGAGCATCTTTCTTTTTGGTGCACTTTGTTTAGCTATAGATTATATTTTGATGTGTCTGAATCTTGGACTGATTAAAATGGCTTTTGTAAAAGTCCTGAAAAGAATTTCTTTTTATCTGCACTTTGCACCCTTAGTTCGGTAGCTATCTTAAAGCTGTGTGATTCTTTATGCATGTACCCGGATCTGCATAACACTTTGTCTCAATAAGCTTCATCAATTAGTACTATTTGTAGTTTGAGTGTGATTTAGAATTTCATTACTTTGATTGAATATATTTTGGTATATAGTCTGCATCATGTCTAGATATTACAAGATAGAGCTGTTTTTATGTGCTGATTGATGGATGTATTTAATCTCTAATTATTCTCCATTATTTTGTTAACACAAATTTTCAAAACAAGAAAAAAAAATTAATGATTTTTGCTGAAGTTATGAGCTTAACTAATTATTCTTATGTACCTATTGCCTTTTTTTGGTGATATATAGAAGAATAATAATTTTCCATTCTAGTGTCTGCACAAAAGCGCTATAATAAGATTTTTGATGAGTTCAGAATCTTCAAACTTCATTGCTATAGTTTTTACGGTATATTTTGATAGCGCTATCGAAACTGAAAAACAAAGCAATACTAAGCTGTTTCTAGAATGCATAGGATTTTGGTTTGTCATTTTTCATACGGGTTATTTAGGGTGGACATCTTTGTTGTACTCCCCCTCCTACTGGCACTACAAATGATTTTAATTATAGTTTGAGCTTAACTTTTATGCTTGGTTCATGTTTAAACTCATGGCCCGGAAACTTCAACAACCGTTTTTGTGATTTTGAAGATTACAACGTTTTTATATGTGTGGTAACACCTAGTCTGCCTTCTTTTCTTCACAATCAAATGTCTTAGTTTCTTTTAGTGTGTTCATAATGTCGTATAGATTGCTAGAAAAGGGAGATTCTAATGGTCTTAAATAAAAATGCCATACTAGATTCCTTGGGTCGGACATTTGTTTGAGATGAGTATTTCTTTCTTTCAAGGCTAAACTTGCAAAGTTACGCCGTGAGCTCTTAGCACCTTCATCGAAAGGTGGTGGTGGAGTTGGTGAAGGCTTTGATGTTACTAAAAGTGGGGATGCACGTGTTGGTCTGGTTGGGTTTCCATCTGTTGGAAAATCAACACTCTTAAACAAGTTAACTGGCACCTTTTCCGAGGTATGCTACTTCTATTCCATCCTTTATTTTCAGTTTATTGGTTTAATCCTTATTTCTATGTTTGTCTTACTCTCCTTAAGTGAGCAGGGCTATTACTTTTAATTTTTAGCATAACGTTCTATTCTATTTGCTACTAAATAATTGAAAAGATTAACGCAAACTTACTGCACTTTCATTTACTCAATACCTATGGTTTTTGAGCATAACAGCCGTTCTTTATAGAGCTATTATTTTTTGATGTGACAGCTACTAAGAACATGTTGAACTAGAGGATATTTTGCCAAACGTATTATGAATCTGGATTATATTGACAATAACATTCATTTTGATAATTGGCAGGTTGCCTCATATGAGTTTACTACTTTAACATGCATTCCTGGTGTGATTATGTACAGAGGTGCAAAAATTCAGGTAAAAACACTTTTACGCTCACATTTCTTGTTTATTCATAAAAAATCCTACAATTTTTATGGTCATTTTGGAAGAGAAATTATTTGTATCTAGTTCAGAATTTTTTTCCTATAATGCACTAGTAGAGTATTGCCTTGCTTCATTGAAGCGACATTTGAAGATTTGACTATTTCATGCTGTAAACCTGATTATTTTTCATGAGGCGACATTTGAAGATTTGACTATTTCATGCTGTAAACCTGATTATTTTTCATGAGGAGTCGCACCTTTTCATTAAGTGTGTGAATTATTCATTGTAATATCACTTATTAGACTTAATTAGTTTCAATCTTGAGGAGTTATGACGTTTTGTTGTTGTTAATTACTGTAATTTTTGTAGGGAGTTTTTCATCATATGCTTGTATTTGCTGGGCTGAGACTGTTCATTAGTTCAGACACTTTATTACATGTTCTCTTGAGTTAGGACTAGATTGAAGTGCATTTCTTACTGCACTAAGTCGGGGGAAACCCTAAGATAAAATTTTTCTATCATGTATTTTTAGAGCATAATGAGACTTACTGATTTCCATTCCATTTATTCAGGTGTTTAAATTTATGGGCTTACATATTCTTCTTGTCTTTGAGATATATGTATAAATAGGTTTTAGGATGTGAAGTGTCTCTTCTTTCTCAAACTTTGTGCCTCTTCGCACCACACTTATTTCTTCGATGATGGCTCCTTAGAAGAATTACTTGGTGTTCAACATTTTGTGCTCTATTGGGGAAGACTTGTTTGATGTTCTCCCAATGATAGAGGAGGAGCCTCTGTCTGCCACAACTTTTATCTCAATGATAGAGGCCACCTACTCTTTTTTAGAAGAGCGTGATAATATTGATCTCTCACCCCTTATTTGTTTAACGTCTTGAAGACATTAGAAGAATGACAACTACCATCACCTCACTTTCTAGTTTGCTTGAGTTGTGGCCAAGGTCACTAATAATGTAGTTGATCCCATCGTCAGTCTCACTGGTTCCTATAAGAGGAAAGCAAGGATAATGGAATTAGTGGCAAAAGTGTCTCATGAAAAAGTTGCACTCACTTCCTTTGTAAATACTATGTTTGTCACATCTAATGGTGCTGTGATTTCTCACATAAATGATGTCTCCATTGGCATTCATGAATGTCATGAGATCCAAAATCAAATGAGTCCCAAATGTAATCTCCTAGCTGGTAATTGAGGTTGAGCCTTCAATTTTACTACTTCAATTGAAAGGGGAATCCTTTATAGGGTGGCCTAGTTGGAAATATTCAAATTGAAGCAAAAGTAAAATTTCTTAAAGATTGAGTCTGGAGGCTCAAAAGGAGCAGTAGTTTCTCATTTTCTCGTCCCGAGAGTCACATCCCTTAAATATATGATAGAAAGATTGGATTTATTATCAAACTAGTTGCTAGTTTTCAGACCAACAAATTGCTAATAAACCATTTGAGAACCCGCCAAATTCCTAGTCATTCTGTTTTTCTAGTTCTCTGAGATAGTCTCAAGATGCATGAGTGTTTAGGACATAATCTCTACTCGTCATACAACTTTCTATGCATGTGGCCAATAGAGCTAATTTCCAATCAACTCAAACAAGTGATACCCACCTAGAGATTAATTTGTCTAATGCTCGAATTCTGGGAGATAACTACATCACAATTGATTATTTCACATTTGACAACTAATTAGAGAAATACTTTTCCCTACTAGCACCTTAGTAGGGTATGTTAATTTGGATTATCGATTGAATGCCACAACAATTCTATAATGCTTTATCGATATCACTCAACACACAATAGTCCATTTGACATTGGCCTCCACCACTTTGATATCGAGATGATATTTTTACTTGAATTTTTACCAATGCCTATAACAGACCTCTAATTCTTAATTCGTCCAAACAAAGGCTCCCTGACATGCCTGATCGGTCATGCTTGACTAGAATATCTTGCTTTCCGTGGTTTTCAATATGATAGAAAACACTTGTATTAAACTAGAAAACCCTTGCTGAAATATGAGAAATTAGCCACTTGCAAACAATTTTTGAGGAGAAGGAAGACGAACAACAATGAAACAAATTTTATTTGATGAAAGACGAACAAAAGCAAGCAAGATATAATGGATCTTCAATTCGAGAGGAAGATCCGGATCTCCCAAATCCCTAGTCGAAGGCTAGAGCCCAAGTACCTAAGAGAGATCTCAAATTTCAGCCAAATTCAAGATGCCATAATCCTTGGAAATGAAATTATTTAATGCATACAATCCAAAAGGAAATCTCTAAACAACCCATACTTTCAAATTTCTCTCCTAAACTCCTAAATATTTCCTAATCAGAGTTTTTGGACTCTGTGGTTTGAGAGGCATGAGCGGGAGGCAAAACTTCTCCGCCTATGTTACACGCGAGCCGGTCCACTGGATCAGTCCAACTAGTCCAGTGGATCGGTCTAACAATACTCTCCTCTGAAAGAGCCATCTTGTCCGCAAGGTGGAAAGACGACACCCTCCTCCATTCCCTCGTCATCACAAACAATAAGAATTTGAAGGGCAGTCATTGCATCTGTGCCTCGGTGTTTTCCTCTCATCACATCTGAAACTCCATTTCTGTGAGCTTCTTGAAGTTGTCTTTGTGTCTTCCACCTACAGCCTTCTCCTTTGGGGTTTCCCAAAGAGTACCCGGTGTCACCTTCTTGGGTGTCAAGAAGGTGGTTGTCATCCTATACGAATCTCCTGAGCTGCTGCCTTCAGACTCTTTCTCTAGGTGTCTCTGATCCTTTATCAAACGAGCTAGCTCCATAGCCTCTCCCAAATCACGAGGCCTCATCATTCTAACTGCCGCTTGAAGCTCTAGTTTGAGCCCTTTCATAAAGTTCCTCTCCAGTACAGTCTCCGAAAGCCGGTCCAGTCGGCTGACCAGGTTCTCAAACTGCTCACGGTATTCCACCACGTCCCCTCTTACGTCAGGTCAAAGAATTGCTCATAGAAGTTCCCTCCCCTGCTGGTTTAGAAAAGTTCTAACGAGCAATCCTTAAACTCCCTTAAGGTCCATATGGGTCATCTTGTTTTCCTCCACTGGTACCATGTAAAGCTTTTTCCTTCCAAGCACATCCCAGCTGCCGTCAGTTTCTCCTCCTTCGTTAGCCTATTGACGGTAAAGTATCTTTCCACCTTGTCGATCCACCCATGTGCATAATCTCCCTAAAAAATAGACATCTTTAGCTTCCTCACCCTCAGATTTCCTCCATTCCCCTGTTTCCTTCATAATTTTCCATTCCCCAAAGGGGTGGTTCGCCCCAATTGTCTCAATCATCCCTTCTACGCTCATATCCAAACATTTCATCAAATTCCCACATTCTCCTTTTAAATTCAGCACACCTTGGATTATAGTAAATTCCTCTCCTTTCAATTTCAGCCCCCCTTCACTCATAATTACCTCTTTTTCTTTCAAATCCCGCCCCTATCCTCTCAAATTCAGCACCACTTTGTTCATGCTTCACCCCATGCTTCTCCCCATACCCTCTCTGTGCTCGATCGGTTTTGTCTTTTTGTTATTTTGAATAGTGAGTAGGAGTATGATTAGAGGGAAATAATAATATATGCGTATAAATATAAATGTATATGGATTAAAAATAAGAAACAGGCAGTGCAATCATCAAATTGAAGATCGAAGATCAATTATGGAATTTATTCTTCCTCCAAAGTCCTTGATCGTTGATTTTAATCCTTTCGAGCAGACTTGAAATGCTACCAAAATTCTGGGAAAAGCATCGAATTACAAAAATTCCTTTTGTTGGAGGACCAGAAGACCTATAATTGGGACCCTTCGTTGTCACGAAGCCCTTGGCCTTCAAATTCTATCCGGTTGGGCGAACTGGATAGGGCAAATGCCCTCCCAATCTCCTCTCGCGGGAAGGGGACGTTGGCAGGTTGCTGAAATTATGCCAAGAGGTAGCCGAATTTTCTAAAAGTTTGAGAAGAGTATTTTGTTTAATTAATTTAACGATAAAATTAAAATTTTAAATTAAGTGATTAACTAATTTAAATAAAATTAATCAATTTAAAAGAAATTTAAAAATTTTAATTGATTAAGACCTCAAATTAATTAAACTAATTAATCGATAAATTTAAATGCAATAACTGAAACTTAATTAATTAATTAAATCTTTAAAATTAAAATTTATTTTAATTAACCAATTAATCAATTAATGGATCGATTAAGAGAAATTTCTAATTTATTAAGTTATTAAAATACAGTTAATTAAATTAAAAATTTTAATGAATTGATAATTAATTAATTTAAAATTTTGATATTTCATTTAAAATAAACAAAAAAATTAATTTAATTAATCAATTAAAACCTAATTTAATTAGTTAAATTAATTGACCAATTGAAAATATTTTAAATTAATTCATAAGTTAATTAACAAATTCAAAATTTCTTTAATTAATTAATCGAATAATAATTAAAATGAAAAAAATAAAAAATGCAGAAGAACAATGTTCACATTAATCAATCTAAGTACAACACACACCAACTAAACCTGAAGTCCTAAAACTAAAACTCTAAACACTGTAACTCAAACTTTAAGCAAATCTCTTTAAGCTCCATCTCCTGCAACTGCTAGCCACAAATACTTATAAATGAGTAAACAAAAATTATTGTAGGTTGCTAAATAAAATTAGTACTGATAAAGTAAAAGCTGGTTCTAAAACAAAATTAGTGCCATAGGCAAAGCTAGTATTGAAATAAAATTAGTAAGATGCGCTAGTACTGTAAGTGAAGCTGTTATTATAGGCATAACTAGCACTGAAACAAAACATTAGTGTTGGTGCTGAGGCAGTAAAGTGTGCAAAACTACATATTTGTTGCTAAAACCTCGCTAAGCAGAGTTCGATATGTCACTTCTAATAGAAGCAGTAAATCTTATTGATAACTATTTCACTAAGTCTACTGAGTGAAGTAGTGAACAACTAAAATTAAACCCAGGCCACCTCTAATAGAGGTCGTAAGTCCTATTTTAATTAGGGTATTAGGGAAAATTTCCCAAGACAGATAACATGTCCCTGATAACCCTCAGGCTATCCTACTTTAATTTGTGTTAGTGAAGCAGTAAAACCACACTTAATCAACAGGCTAGGAAAACTTCTTAAGTGAAATAAACTAGCTCTAAACCTCTTAAACAAAAAAACATATATGCAACTTTCATTTGGAGCTGTAAAACCAAATTTTAAACCCTAACAAATGGGGAAATTTTAAGGGAAGACATAAGACTTGCTATTCGGGCTACTTTCAATGAAAGTAGTAAGACCCAACTTCTTAAAACACGGGCTACTTCTAATAGAAGCGGTAAGACCCAACTTTTTAAACAACATGGCTACTTTCAATGAAAGCAATAAGCCACGAACAACTTCCAATGGAAGCTGTAAGACCCAATCTAAATTCAAATATACGGGCTACTTCCAATGGAAGCTGTAAGACCCAATCTTAAACCCAAACATACAAACAATTTCCAAAGGAAGCATTAAGCCCCAACCTTAAACCCAAACATACGGGCAACCCCCAAGCGGAGCCGTAAGCCTCAATCCAAACCAAACAACCATAATATTAAAACTTACATTTATTCACGTTAGTTTATTTGGGATTCCTATGAGGAGGCAACCCATGATTGCTAAGCAGATTTCATGGACACTATGATCAATTATTGTTAGTGTTAGTAGCCGAAACCTACAGTATTCTTGGGACGAAGGAACTATGAGATTCTAATTGGGTCTACCTCCATCCCCCACAACCAAGATTAAAATACTTGCATTGTTGCAAATTCAAATATTAATTCATCATTAATCGAGAGTTCTCTTCTACGCGATAAGAGGGGTAATTAAGTATGAGGGCTTGCATTTATAGGAAGTAAGGACCTAAATCTAAAAAAACACTGATACCACCATCAAGAGAAATCTAGTTAACTATAATCCGCCTTAAGGAGAATGAAATCTTATGACTGCAAAGCGGGATTCATGCCTACGTGCTGTTTTCCCCGAGCCTACAATTTTCTTTAAAATCTCTCCAACCTTAGTTTTGTTAATACGACAAAAACAACAACAAATCTTTATCCCACTATGTGGGGACATCTACATGATTATTTTTTCTCCATTATATCCTGTTAAAGAGTCAAAATTTTATTTAAATTTAATAAAAAATGTCATTTCTAATATTTTCTAGCCAAATCTTTTTAGGTCTACCTCTACCTTTCTTAACATTGGCCAAATCCAATACATCTACTCATCTGACCGGGTCATCTAAAGACTGACGTTTTATGTGTCCAAACCATCTATAAGATGACTCTCTCCAATCTTATTTGCCCTTGGAGCTACTACATTCTTTTCTCGTACATACTCATTTCACATTCTTTCTCTAAGAGTGAAGCCACTTATCCACGTGAGCATCCTCATCTTTGCAACACTTAAGTTTATGCTTCTCTTTTAATGGCCAACATTCTCTATTTTCATTCAGTGCGTTGGAGGATAAGGAAGGACAATGGATAAATCCAATGTAGCATGAGCAGGAATTCAAAATGATTTGTAAAGAATATGTTTTACACCTTAGTTAAGACTTACTAGAAATAAATGGAAAATATGGATTCATAAATTTAATCCCAAATAATTAAGATAAGGTTAATGATGATGATGGCAAGGTTCAACCACTCTTATGTCAATAATGTTGGTTTTTTTATTACTTCTTGATACTTATTATCATATTTTAAACTGGATAATGCTGTCATGTTGTTTTAGTTTGTAGTACTGTCGCTTCTGGTTTTATTCAATCTAATGATTTTGTGACGTTGGCATTTGTGTTTCAGTTGTTGGATCTTCCGGGGATCATTGAGGGCGCAAAGGATGGAAAGGGCAGAGGAAGGCAGGTAACCAGATGAGGTTATGCTCCTAATTGTAGTAGATGAGCATGCACCAGGTCTTTCTTAGTACTGAATAGTGTGCTTGTGGCACTTGATTAGAGCCACCAACAATAAAAAGAGGCATGGGCATGCATGTGTGCACGAGTTGAACCCTCTCTCTAATTTGCTCTCTTAGCCCCCTACCACTTCCCTTTTACCCCCAAAACGTATCATCAAATCACCAATCAGCAAAATCCACTTAATTAGGTATGAAGATGGAAAAACCCATCATCCTTTGCTTCGGAAAGGTTATTTTGAATTTGTTTTGGCGAGCATTGCATATTATTTGGTATGTTGATGGTGGCTGCTTGTATTGCATGCCTATTGAATTAACACTTAAAGCCCTAGTCTATTAGAACTATCTGTGCATTTTTATGATGCACCTATGAAGCTGAACTGTTGATTATTTCTATCCAGGTAATCAGCACTGCCAGAACATGCAATTGCATTTTAATTGTTCTGGATGCTATAAAACCAATAACACACAAACGTATTATTGAAAAAGAGCTTGAAGGGTTTGGCATAAGGTAAATCATTTTACGATTTCTTCGATATTAATGTTTAGTCTTTTTTGTAACCATCTTATATTTTTTGTTTTTGTTTTTTGAGAAGGATACTTCCCAGGGTTAACATATCTTGGCAAATACATCATTAATATTTTTTGAATGGTTTATTGGTATGAATTTAAATAATAAATTAAAAATTAAGATAGAGCTTGAGGCATGGTACATGTATATGTCTCATGATGCTTGCTTGTTAATGTTTTAGTTCTAGATCTTAGAAGCCATAGTTTTGTTTAAAGTAGAAATTACAACTCGTAGCGTGATTTAAGAAAAATAAAGTCTGAGAGATAGGTTATGTCAGAGTATTGGTGCAGGGTGGTTGATGTAGAGGCAGTATTTAGACAAGAGCAAGTAATGCGGCCAGCCACTTGAGTTCTAATGAGAGTTAGGGGGTGAAACCACGAACCTTAAGCTGCCCATCTTGTAGAGCTGCTAGCGGACTAAGGTGTTGGTGTGTCTTGTGGATAGGTTTTGAGAGTCCATATAGAGATCAAAGAGAGGAACAAAGGTTGAACATCACTTCCACTTATCTCCATCAGTTTTTTAAGTGAGGTAAAATTCATGGTTGAAAAAAGAAAAGTCTAGTGAGGCATGGTACGAATTATGTTGCGAAGAAGCATAGTGGAGATGGCATGCTTTATGCTTTTTTATTTGTACTAGTGGAAAGGAGTGAAAGGATTAAATGTCATACTTGAGCTTGTTGAGGTGAGCACCCCTAGGACCCATAGTTAATGGAATTGATAGCTCCCCCTCTTGTTGTAGTGGTAAAAGTGGAGGCGAGTGCGGTGCACCGACAATTGTGGTGTTGTTGATTGTAAAAAGCCCAGTTAGAGTAGTTCTCTCCTCTAGCTCTGATGACATCTCTCTAACTATCTGGTGAGCGAGGCAAATCTCTACTGGGTGACCAACGAAGGTGGTGGCTACTGAAGTGTTGGCCTCCACTGAACTGGTAACGACTCCTGTGATGGCCGAGTCTGTTGTTGGCCAGGGTGAAGGTGAGGAGAATTACTTTCAAGTTCTTGATAGGTCTAGCAGCCAAGCTTCGCTATCCACTAGCGAGCCAAGGGTCTGCCTCTCTTCGAGCAAATCATTAGGATACCCACCGTGTGAATTCAAGGCCTTGACCTTAACGCAATGGGCTCCAAGCTTATACATGAAGATGATGGTCCTGCATGATGGATTGTCAGTCGTTCCTTTATGTTTAGAAAATTTTGCACAACTAGAATAATTCAAGAAGAGGATAGTTCTAAGAACACCATAAAATAATGGGATTGTCGAACACATAAACAAAATTTTGAATAGTGATAGAAGCATAAGATTACACGTAGGATTGTCCAAGACTTTATGGGTGGATGCTGCTAGCATTGCCACTTAGCTGATGGATGGAGAACCCTTAGTTCGATTATACAATAAACAATGTGAGTATCTTTGTACTATTAGAGAAGCGAACCTTTCTCATTTAGAAGTTTGTGCTGTCTTTCTCATGCACATGCTGATTCTATTTATAGCAATAAGCTTGATCTCAAATTTATAAAATGTTATTTCATTGGATATAGAAATGATGATTTTAGCTATAGATTTTTGGATGATTAATGTTAAAAGAATATATCCCAAGTAGGAATGCTCTTTTTAAAGAGTATATCATGTGCAAAAATGAGTTTAACAATTTTGGGAAGCAAGATCTCTATTGTTGAATAAGTGGTTTCAAAGTCAATGATTTGACTGGGATCATATGTATATTTTGTTCAAAGCTACCATGGATCTCAGCTTTTTCTATTATGATTTAGCAAAATTAAAAGAGAGCAACTCCTACAACGGTTTCACGTGGTTGAGCAGCTCTTTGTTCATGATATTTGATTATGTTAAAATAGCTTTGGCTTACGTGAAAGTATTAGTTGATACGGGGAGCTTGCACTTGAGGGGTAGCTTGTTAATATGCATGACAATAATGAGTTTGCCTCATATCAAATAGGTGAAAATTATGTTGGTGCAAAAATACCAAGTTATTGATACATTTAGAAGTTTAAATTTTTGAATTGAAAATAAAATTTTCTATTGATGTATCAAGCAGATGGTAGTGAGACCTGCAATGTTTTATGGCACTGAATGTTGGTCATTAAAAGAGAAGCATAAAATTAAGTTAAGTGTTGCAGAGATGAGGATTTTTCTCTATTAGATTTAAACAAGAATTTGACTTTTAATAGGACACATTGGAGAAAAAGGATTCATGTAGCTGACCCCACGTAGTGGGATAAAGGCTTGTTGTTGTTGTTGTTGTTGTTGTTGCAGAGATGAGGATGTTTAGGTGAATGAGTGATTTTACACTTAGAAATAAATTGCAAAATGAGTATATGCATGAAAAGGTCGAAGTAGCTCCAGTGGTAGATAAGATTAAAGAGAGTTGCCTTAGATGATTTGATCACATAAAATATCGGCCTTCCGATGACCTTGTTAGGAGAGTAAATGTATTAGATTCAGCATTCGTTAACAAAGGTAAACGTAGGCATAAATGTATTTAGTTAGAAAGTATTAAAAATGATGATTTTTATTAGATTTAATGATAATTTCACTTTTAATAGGACATAATGGAGTAAAAAGAATTCATGCAACCGACCCCACGTAATGGGATAGAGTCTTGTTGTTATTATTGTATTGATGTATTTGGCCTGACTTTGGCGACTAATTGTTCCATACTCCTAAAAAGTAACTCTACCTAATACAGGAAGGCTACATAACTCCATAAGCGATATGGGGATTTGCCCCAACTTCATTAAGTTTATAAAAATTAACTTGTTTTTCTTATGTATATGGAGACCACCCAACTTAATTGAGGCTTCTAAGAAGAAGACTAAATCAAATGGTTTTCCTGGAGGGCGGACTCTCCCTTAATAGGTAGTGACATGCCATAAGTTGATATTAGCTTCATCTTCAACAATAAATGCAATGTTGATGTGTCATTTTTGAGGAGCATTTTAGTTTGGCCACAACTGCGAGATAGCTTGACTCATCTTTGAACCTATAGTTTGCCAAATTAAGAAAACATCCTTCACACAAATGTTTATATACTCAGGAGGTAGGATAAGAGGAGTTCCATTGCACATTTTCTTCTTCTCAGCTTCCTATCAGCTCTACTTCATCCCTGGTGGAATCCTTGTGGATTTCACCTTGGGCCTCTCATAATTCCTCGTTCTTTCTTGTTTCATTGAATTATTGATTGCATGATTTAGTGTTTGAACTGCAAAGAAATTGTTTTTTCACTTCTTTATATTAGGGGTACTGTCATCAAGGCGTCATATATGCTGCAGTGCCAACTCCAATGAAGCACTTTTGATTAAATCGTTTGGAAAACTGTCTCAAATAGATGAATTTAAATTTGATGGTTTTTGCATGATTTTTAACAATATAAACGGGCAAATTTACTACATTGGCATTTATTCAGAATTAGAAGAAGTTTGTAAAGTCGTCTTTATTTGTAGTCTACATTGCTGTGTGAAGCGAAGAGGTGGCTTCTTTTAGAAATGTGCATTCACTTTACAACTTTTCTATGCATTTTTTATCATCTATATATATTTTACTTGTATGATTAATGATAGGTTGAATAAAGAACCACCGAATTTGACTTTTAGAAGAAAGGATAAGGGTGGCATCAATCTTACATCAACGATCGCAAACACACATTTAGACCTTGAAACTGTGAAAGCAATCTGTGGTGAATATAGGATTCATAACGCCGACGTCACCCTCCGATATGACGCCACTGCAGATGATCTCATCGACGTTATTGAAGGAAGCCGAATCTACACTCCTTGTATCTATGTAGTGAACAAGATTGACCAAATAACGCTTGAAGAGCTGGAGATTTTAGACAAGCTTCCTCACTATTGTCCAATCAGGTATCGTAGGATATATTGTCCCTGCTTCAAAGGAATATTCTACTGGACTTGTTTTCATATACATCTCATGTTCATATATATATATATAGCGCTCATCTGGAATGGAATCTGGATGGCTTGTTGGAGAAGATCTGGGAGTATCTTAATCTAACTCGCATATACACCAAACCAAAAGGAATGAATCCAGATTATGAGGATCCTGTTATCTTGTCCTCAAAGAAACGAACTGTTGAAGATTTCTGCAATAAGATTCACAAAGACATGCTCAAGCAGTTTAAATAGTGAGAGTACAATAATCACATTTATACAACTTTTGGCCTAAATTTATGAATTTTTTTCTTATCTATTTGCTGATTGATGACTGCGTGAACTGTCTAGTGCTCTGGTATGGGGGTCGAGTGCAAAGCATAAACCTCAGCGGGTTGGGAAGGTAAGCCATCTTATTACCATGGGTGCTAATCCTTTTGTGATCTCTGCTACATAATTTACTCGAGTTTGGAATTTGTGATTTAGGAACATGAGTTGGAGGATGAAGATGTTGTTCAAATTATAAAGAAGATATAAAGAACATGCAGATTTTCATTTGGGTTAGACAGGCTTACATTGACCTGAGTAAGGAGGTTACTTGAGTTATACGTTTGATCTTTCTTCTACCAGAGAGGATTCCCAGGTTCCTGATCATTTGTGTCATGTTGATATATGGAACGATTGAACTCTCTAGGTACTTCAACATGTGTAAGTTCTTTTCTTTTAGTTCGTCTTACTTGTTGGCTTTCACTTATTTATGTTTTGGCGTAAGTATTCCATTTAATTTGGCAAGATTCATCATTGGAAGTTGTTACTACCTCATGTCATTGAGAGTTAAGGTGGTGTGAGGCGGAGCTTTGGAGGTGAAAGAGAAATGCTTTCTCTCCTTGCATTGCTGGTTCTTTGGGCTATACGAAGAAGGGACACTGTCCTCTTCTTTCTTTGCTTTGCTTTTTTCTTTTTCCTTACCGTCAAAATTTGTTGATCAGATTCGTTTGTGCTAGGGCTTTATCAGTTTAGGACAAAGAAGCTTTAGGAGGTTAAGAGCATTATGGATTACTTAGACGACTTTAATTTGGTTGTTGAAAATGCTCTGTACTCGATTAAATTTTGTATAGGATAACTTTATATTGTTTTTAAAGCAATTTTCTAATTAAAAAATTTATAATTTTAAAAGTATATTAAAAAATTATTTAAAAAGTAATAAGCAATATAGCTACATATAAATCTTTTGGATGATAAATGATGCATCAGCAATGATCAGCATTGGTTGATGAAGACTATAAAATTAGTATGATTGCTATATCCATACAATTTTGATCTGAGTAGCATTAGTTGATAAATATTTGAAGAACAAATTGGTCGATTAAAATCAGCCTTTTATTATTTTTTAAATCAATCTTTTAGTACAAAAATTAAAATAGTTATATTGAAAATCTCCTTCAAGAAACAGTAAGAAATCCATCCCAACCAACAAAGCCTGAGTCGGCCAAAAATTTATGCACATTTTTTATATATCACAAATACGCTCAGACAAACCTCACGAATTAATAAGAGATATAATATATGTGCACAGCATAATTATCCTTAATTTTTTATTACGTTTTTTTTTTTAAACTAAACATCAAAGCAGCTGCTCATTAAAAACGATATGTTTTTTACAATGATAAAAACAAAAAACAAAAAAGCGGAAATAATGTTTATTGACCCTTGAAGGGAAGAAGGCTTCAAGCCTTAATGCAGCAAACGAAATAGCTCATGACCTTTTTCCTCCCCTGCAAAGAAATTAAATATATTAATAATACAAAGTAATAAACAAATAACCCTATGAACAATCACATCAATAAACAAAAAACGAGAATAAAATTATACCAACAAATAATTTATTTTGCATATAAAAAAAGAAGCCACATTTGGGAAAAGTTCTCTCTCTTGCGGGCACATTCACCACGCCAAGTTCGTTCAGCGCACAAACAATCATAAAGTAGTAAATTGTTTATATCATGTTTGAATTATCAATTTATATATAAATCATACAAGCATTAACTATACCTTTCAGAAATGTTCATAAAATTTAAATTCATTATTATTTAAAATAATGAGTAATAAGATAACCATCTCCAATAAAGTATAGATTCTTTAACAATTATTATCAATGTTATTCTATCAAAATGGGATTCTTTAACCATCTCATTTCTAAATATATATATATTTTTTAATTTATTTAAAATTTCTCCGAGCAACATTAATGGAAGTAGAAAATTAAAGATAAAAAGATTCACCCAGGTTCTTTAAAAGCAAACAAAATACAGATTTCTTAAGACGAAACATAATAGGACTGTGAACTAATAATCTACTAATCAAGGTCTAGGGTTTTGTAGAAAAAGAATATACGAATTAGCTCACCGAGGGAGAGTGCTGGTGGCCTATCGCCGGAGTTACGGCGATGCCGGAACGAGAGACGGCGGAGGCAGCCACCTTGGATCGGTTAAGGATCTCGTCATCCTTTTTGGAACCGTTAAGAAGATCTTCATCGTTTCCAATGGAGATGCGAGAGTAATCAGATTTATTCAGCTTCCGCATCTGTCGGACCTTGGAGAAGTCCAATGAGTAATCCGGCATCCCCTTCTGGTTATCCCAGTCCCCGAAAGCCGGCACCGACATCCAGTCCACCTTTGTCCCCTGCAATTCCGTTCCAATCCTTGATAATTTCTTCCAAGAAATCGCTTGAAACCAAACTCAATGAAAAAAGTTCAGAGAAATAGCTCGGGAAAAATAAATAAAAAGAAAGAGAAAACTACCTCTGTGCTTTTTTCCATTGATTCGTAGGAGAAATCCCTAGCCTAGAAGAGAAGGAGAACTCGCCGGGAAGCAGAGGGAGGAAGAGGTCAGGAGGAGTGATATATACTACTTTGACAAGTAAATGCCACTGAGATGCTATAAAATCACAAATTTGCCACTGATTTTTCTTCGTAGAAATTTCTATTCGGTAATGCTATGCGTGTGCTTTGCCGTGGGAATTGAATGAGTGCAACTTAAATCCGCCGTAGATTTCGCAAAGGAAAATAATTGACGTACGAAGATGGAGTTCGTATAGAAATTTAATATGCGGGGCGGAGGGTAAATAGCTCCGCTAAACAACTTGAAGAACAGCTGGATGCCACGCGGGAATTCAGCGGCAAGGGCGTGAACGATTGGCAAAAGGAATCTCTATGCGGCAGGTGAATATGCGGGGAAAATCATATATTAAACTATTATCCCAGATATATAAAATTAGTATAAAAACAAAAATATTAGAAGTTACTTCTATTAATTAGTAAAAAAGATATTTGTTTAGTTGTGATAAAGAGCTAAGCAGGCGGGATTGTGATTGGACTAAAAGCAGCGTTTGGTTTCTTTGGAGGCGGTCAGCGGCGGACGCGTAGAAGAGCGAAAAAGGGTTTTTCTTTGAGAGGAAGAAAAGTCAGTCCAGCTGCTTTTTTTCTTTTTTTGTGATAGGAATGTGAGAAAATATGATGTCTCTCCTATAAGCATATATTCATATAATTAAATAAATAAATTCATATTTATTTCATCTATGATGCTTTAAAGACATCACAACATAAAACGGTCATTGATAATTAATATATCTACAAAAAAAAAAAAAAAATCTACATGATTTGTCACGAATCTCAAGGCTAAATTAAAATTAAAAACTTTTGAAATTAAATTTAAAAAAATTATATGACCAACAACTCAATAACTTAATAGTCGACCCTAGCGTTTCAATGAGACGAACTCAAGGATACCAAAGTTGATCCAATCCGAACTCAAATGAGTCAAAATCAAACAGTTGAAGTATAATTGAAAACTTAAACATTAATTAAATAAACAAATGATCTTCAAATTAAACATGCTAATAGTTGAATCAACAAGACCACTTAATTTTGACATTATTAGGGCACTTAGATGCATAATAAAAGCTTTGTGGTTAAGGGAATAAATATGGATCGTACAATGATGTGTTTTGAATTCTGATTTAAATTATCTAAATATCAATACCAAAAAATTTATAAATAGAGCATCATTCTTTTTTTACATAAAAGGGGGCGAAGGAATATAAAAACTAGAAAGAGTTCTCTTATATTTTTCAGTCATCACCGTTGCAAACCATCACCAGCTATTGTCACCTATAACGACTATTACCACAAAAAATTAGCATAAAAAATTGCCACCATCTCCAGAATGCTGAATAGATTTAACCTTGTTGTTTGGTGATGTCTGCTTGTGGAGTTTGGACACATACTTTTTATACTCCCTATTGAGAAAATCAAGTTCTATTGTTAGGAGTTAACTGTCCCTCTATGAATTATTGATTTCTATAATACCCCTCATAAAAAATCAAATGTCCAATGAATAAAGGAGAATTGTTGTATCACTTATTACATAGTGGATTTTCAACTTGGCCAGGTCTCATGGTCTTCTACAGTGAAGAAATGATAATTCATGTATTATTTACGATATAGTGAATTTTTCAACTGGATCAGATCCCATGATTTTTTTCCATTCCTATTTTATACATAAACTTTTTTATATCTTATTACTTTTATATGTGAGTGTTGATTTTTTATACAATGCTAAGACATAAAACATACTCCACCGACTTAAATTTTTAGCGCGTAATAATAATATTCATCAATATAATGAAATCAACCAAAACAACCCATATCCATACTAGATAAATTGGCACAATATATCCTCGTGGGCCTATATATAGAGTTCATAAGTCTAAATTCATAAATAAAACTATGCAACCATACACCATATGATGTAACATCAAAATAAAACATAAAATCAAATACAATAAAAAAAAAGTAGCAGTTCAAGCCTTCTTAACACTCCTCCAAGACACATCTCCCACTAAAAACATAAATATATATTTGAAACTTATTTTTGAGAATCAACATAATGTGCTCCCACTGTTCGTACGAGTGGACCAAACTGAGCTCCACATAATCCTGAGGTCAGCTATAGCCTATACAATGATAATTAAATATGCAAATTGCTGGATTTACGTACAAAGTATAGTTACAAAATAATTAATTGCATGCATTTCGCGACTCCGTCACATTGCTCGTTTATGTCATCACAAAAAATTTTTTTTTTAGTTGGTCAAAACCTGACATTTTCTTATTAATTCACTAATACAAATGAAAAAATAAACTGTACGTGTACTTGGTTGATTATTATGCTTAATTTCATTCAATTAAAGTAGTTAATTTATTTTTAAAACAGATCAAAACCTATCATGCATGATTTGATGATTAATTTATTAGATAATCTCAGATCGATCCTTCTCTCCGAATCTGCATGTAAGAAAAATAAAAATCAGTTAATTTTTAAGTTAAGATAGAGAAGGCCGTATATATTTTTCATTCCGAATGCGAATTATGGAATAATTTGCAACAAAAGATTATTAATGGACATAGTCAAAATATGGAAGCCATTATTTATAACCAAGTTGAAGTCTAATTAGCTCTTCTACTGGTACTGGAGATTGCTCCTTTATTTTAAGCAAGCTTAAGGCTTCATTTGATTATAAATTTTTTACTATAAATCAGTTTTAACAATCTTTAAAAAAATCATCCCAAACGAAGTCTAAAATAATGTTCATGCAAGTAAAATTTAAAAATGCAAAATCAATATTTTGTCTCTATTTTTTATTTAAAATTTGACTTTCTTGTCTTCTTAATAAAGAATTTAGCAAGGTTCTAGTTTCGTTTGGAACAACTTTTATATTATGTTTTAAAGTAATTTTCTTTTTCTTAAAAAATTTGTACTAAAAAGTCATTTTAAAAAACAATAAGAAAAATGTCTCAAATGAAAAATGGACAACAAAAGGTACTATAAGATATTTATTTATTTATTTTTTATTAGTAAAGTAAAAAAGAAATTACTCATAATTTCAATCATATAAAATAAAAAATATCCTTTAAAAATACAACCCATATGAAGCCACTGATCGTTCTAATCCGATTTGATTGACCTGTGAGATCAACCTCTAATTTATTTAACTCCAACTCAATATAAATATTTTAATTATGAGTAATAATTTATGTTTCTTGTCTTCTATAAAGCAAACTTTTCATCTCATCTTACGCATTATGTGCGTTATTAGTAAATCTAATGATAATATATAATATCGCATCAAAGTAAAACGAACAATACAAGGAGTGGCACCATCGACCCACATTTTGACCGGCTCAAGCCGGCAAGTTGTCGTAACTGGCCGGCTCAGGCCGGCCGGGCTTTAACATATTGACAGAGCCAAATCGCCACTCCTTGTATTGTTCGTTTTACTTTGATGTGATATTATATAATGATCATTAGATTTACTAATAATGCGTAAGATGAGATGAAAAGTTTGCTTTATAGAAGACAAGAAACATAAATTATTACTCATACATATCACTTAATACTATGCTATTTACATATTTAACATCTAAAACTTTAATATTACATGAATACCACCCTATATTATTTTAATATCAAATATACCACTTACATTTCTTTCCTACCACCCATATATTTCATTTCTACCACTCATATTTGATATGAAAATGAACTATGAATGACATGTATGTAATATTAAAGTTTTAGATGTTAAATATGTAAATAGCATAGTATTAAGTGATATGTATGAGTAATAATTTATGTTTCTTGTCTTCTATAAAGCAAACTTTTCATCTCATCTTACGCATTATTAGTAAATCTAATGATCATTATATAATATCACATCAAAGTAAAACGAACAATACAAGGAGTGGCACCATATATCGACCCTCATTTTGACCGGCTCAAGCCGGCAAGTTGTCGTAACTGGCCGGCTCAGGCCGGCCGGGCTTTAACATATTGACAGAGCCAAATCAATAATAATTATTATTATTTTGGGGTCAACTTTATAAGAAAATTGATCCTCCGTAAACAGCGCTTTTGAAAGCAATGTCTCTGAATTTGATTTAATGACTCAAATGTCAAAAAAAAAAAAAAAAAAAATTGTAGGTATTTGCTTTCATGAAGCATACGAATATTTAAATGCAAAAAGAAATTAAAAATCACAGACAAATGAATTGAAGTGATTATTTTTATGAATGATAATTGCTTAATAATAAATTATGAAATGTTTGACTTGATTCGAACTTATTATTGTAATATAGAGAAACCAATTGGTATCGGTTGATTTTGCTTTGAGAAGAATTCAATACATTAATTGATTGATTAATCATATAAACCTCAGCATAAATTTAATGAATAGAAATCAAAGATTATTAAATTTAACATGATCAATTGAGTTTTGGACATATTTGTAGAAATCGGAAAACGAACGACAAACAGATCAAAAATCCTGAGAGTAGAACTCAATGATCTCTCTGAGATTGAGCCGAAACAGAGGAGAAGAAGGAGAATCAGATGAGAAATCGTTATAGAAAGACCATAGCATGTGCTCGAAGAAAATGGCGTCCACGTCGACGAATATGGCGTCTCCATCGCCGACTCGTCGTCCCTTCTTCTCTCTGCTCGTTACAATCTCCATCAGCTCTCTGAAAGGCTCCCTTTGCAGCACGAACGGATCGACCAAGAACTCCCTCTTCTCCCTTCTCCCCGCCACCACCCGCACCGCGGCCGCTTCAGTAGCCGGGAAATCGCCGTCGTCCGACCCGGACGACGTGAGGTGGCGGTACCCGCGGGAAGATGGTCGCCGGAGGAAAACGCAGCAGCCGATCTCGCCGGCGGCCATGAGATCGGATCGAGGAGGCCGGGAAAATGGGTAAGGTATGTTGGTGATTTGTAGGGTTTGGGAATTGGGGGTTGAAAGAGGAGGAAGAAGGTACAAATGGATCGTATTGGAATGAGTAAGGAAAAGTGGGAGCACTTATTCAATTTGAGGCCAGCTGCTCTACCTCCAGCTGGTGAAGTATATGCTTCACCACGGATTTTGTGTTCAGCGTTTTTTTTTTTTTTTGTTCAGCGTTTTTTTTTTTTTTCTTTTATAGTTAAAAACTTTAATTTGGTATACTGTAAAAAATGTTTTGTTTTTTTAATTTCGTATAAAATCCATTTTTTTTTCTTTATAAATCAAACCAATTGAGTTATAGTAAATTTTTTGGGAAAATCTAAGTTAAAATTAGAAATTGTTTGTGGTCAGAATATTTTGATCATATTAATTAGAAAATATACTATTTAGTAAATGATACAAGAATCCTCCTTTCTTTACTGTTGAAAAAAAAGAGGGATTAAACAAATGTTTGAATTTTTTTGAGAGAAATTATACAAATCAAGTGTCTACAGAGAGATAGTTAATACCCAACAATAGAGTCTGATTTCTCCAATATAGAATATAAAAAGCATGTATCCTTAGATAAACAGCTACACCCAACAGCATGATTAAATCTTCTTAGTATTTTGAAGATGTTGGCTATTTATGATACTAGTCGTTAGTGACGATGATGATAATTAGTGACAATAGCTAATGATGGTTATCAGCAATATTGGCTGGAAAATATTAGAGAGGTTTATCTATTCTTCCTCCCCCTCATATGAATAATGAAACTTTATTTATAGGGTTTTTTATATGGACATTTTGGTAATTCTAATTAGAATACAAAACATTCTATTCAACAGCCCATATTGTACCTCTTGGTGATCATGAAACATTTGTTTAACATTTAAGCGCCTTAATGATGCCAGAATTAAATGATCTTATAAAGGCTTGTTGGATTTGTAACATCGAGCTGCTCGATTTAACTATAATTTTGTTTAATTTGGAGATCATTTGGTCATTCAATTAATGTTTGAAGTTTTTAATTATGTTTCAAGTATTCGATTTGGGCTCCTTTAGGTTCAGATTATACCACGTTTGATATTGTTGGATTTTTCTCATTAAGGCGTTCAAATTGACTATAAATTTGCATAAATTGGAGCTTATATAATTTTGAATTAAATTCCAAAATTTTGCCTTGAGATTCATTAAATCATGCGGATGTTTGTGTGTATCAATAACTAATGAAAATTACATAATTTGCAGTCCAATCTTCAAAAAGTTTATAAAAGTTCTAATTATTTGTTTTTATCTTGTTTTATATAGAAGGATAAAGTTAAACATCGAACAAATTTCTAGTACGCATAAATAATGATAATAATAGTAACTTTTCATTTTTGTTGCATTCCCAAAAATAGTTTAAATACTTCAGAAAAAAAAACAGCATTTCATGTAGTTTTTTAATTTCCCAACCAATAATATCTATTTCAGGTACAAATTTTGAAAATTTAATTTATTTCTTAAACTTTAACAATAAATAATTTAAACTATGATTATTATTTTTTTTAATTTATTAATATTTTATATGAGTAATCATTGGGGTTTTCATTTTTTCTAACAAACAATTATGAAAAGTAATAAAAATAAATAATAAAAAAAGAATAATTGAGCTGGTGCTTAGTGCCCACAAGCTCAGCCAAGACGTGCGACGCTGACGAGTCGCATAAAACGGATATAGGCTATTGGGCCGCGTAAATTATTAATCCATGTGGGCCTTTTTAGATAAATTGCCAAACAAATTTTTGATAAAAAAATGATTTGTTCTACAGAGATGGCGCGTTGCTCGACAGATGGACGTCATGGATAAAGTGATGCCCAAATGCGATACGTACTTATTTATTTTAGATTATTATTATACTTTAGTTTAGATGATGATTTTATTTTTGACGTTAAAACCGATTGTTAATGTTGAATTCAGAATTATTTTAGTCAATAATATATCAAAATATAACATATTTATGTAATAAATTTAAATAAAATAAATTAGTAAATGATTATATTAAAAAATTATTTACACCAAAGATAATAAAATGTAAAAGAATTTTAATATTTTAAGGAAAGACATTCTGATATGCCACATAATAAGAACCCCATTTGGAGAAGCTTTCGGAGCAAAGCCTTACATGGGGCCCTGGTTCGGTACCCATTAGGTAGCCACTCTCTATGCATGATGACTTTTGGGATGTCGTACATACTTATATCGACCCATTTTTCATGATTTTTGAACGTAGTCCGTCATGGATTGATGGCCATGAGGCTTATTACCATTTGTTTTAACTGTAAACTTTCAAGTATTATGTCAGAATTTATCATGGTCGCAACACAGTTTAGAGTTGTGCACTGAATAGTGAGAACTGCGATAATATGTTGATTAACATGAATGTAAATATAAGTATCTAATGCAGGTCTTTATATATATTGTAACTCTGCCAAACTTCTATTTAGCTTTTGTTTTATCTCCGAAACAACAAACCAAAAGAGTTGGGTAGGCTTTTTAATTTAATTAATTGATCCTGCGTGTGGGGCTCATTTATTTTAATTTTTTTATTATTATTGAGAAAGAGAAAGTCATGCATGCTATGCCTATGCCGACCTCTTCTCCTTTTTATTGAGACGACTAATGCTGTTCGCCGACATATTCTTGAAATATTCAATATTGTTTGATTTGTCAAAATTTCTCGCGAGAGGAAGCTATTCCTAACATAATAGCAATAATCTGATTACGTTGATTTTTTTTTTTTGGTTAAAATTGTAAAAATGGGAGGTCATTTAATCTCAAAATTTGTTTTTGAAAAAAATCAGTATTTTGAGAATTAAATTACTTCATGTGAAAAAATAAAATTTATAAGTTTTTTAAATAGAATTTTGAGTTAATTAAAATAAAACTCACACTCATCACATATGAAACCTTCAAATTCAAACTTTTTTAACTCACAGTCGACACTTTCAACTAATAAATCAAGATGATGACATAATCCAACTTGATGTGTTAGATTGAAGCTTTTGTTACTAGCTAAGAGATATAGAGTTTAAGTTGTAAATGTATTTAAAAAAAATAAAGATGAGCTGTCTAAGTTACAAAAGAGCAGCTGGATGAAAATTTGACTGTGGGACCCACACCTAGCTCAAAACTTAATAATAATAATAATAATATCATTTGAAAAAAAAAAAAACGGTGACACACCTATACTAATGGCAGAGGGCATTATCATTTTTTTTTTTTTTGGCGGAAATCATTATCAGAATTTAATATTTAACTTACATATTCACCCGGCGCTCATCTTAAAAAATATATATATTTTTATCTATATTACTATTATAAGCTAAGCTTTTAAAATTTAATATATTAAAATTTTATAAATTAAAATTCAATGAATATCAATAGTCTTAACTCCCACAATTGCTAATTTTATTGTTATGAATTTTTTTTTTCGAAAAAAGGTATTCCTATTTTTTAGATTTTTTCTTCAATTAAATTTTTTTATAAAATTAACTTTCTTCTAAAACAAACTTTCATCATCCGATATACATTGGAAGAAAATACTTATTACTTATAAAATACTTAATTATGAATAAGAGTATATTCTACAAACTTAGAGAACAAAATATCATGAAATAAAGTATGCTAGAAAATAATTAAATTATAGGATTAATAAATTTATTTTTCAATTTTAATAAATATATAGATTAAAATTATATGAACATCTTATTACAAATTATTATCTTTAATGTACAATAAATTTATATTTAATCTTCTTTTTTAATCTGCAAATATCTTAATTAAATCTATTTAAATATATTTAAATTAGATTTAATTTTTAAACCTATTTGATACATTTTAACTATTAGGTAAAAAAATAATTATCATATATCTAATTTAAAATAGTACAAAAACAAATTAAATTTAATAATTAAAATATACCATAGCGCTTAGATACCGCAGCGAACTCCTTGGCAATACACACGTGTGTGCAACGTGGTGCATGATTCGAGCCACGTAAGTAGCCGCTTACCTCATCCCATTAAAGCCATTAATCACTGCAACTGCTACTTCATCGTCTTCTTATTGCTCGATCATTACTTGGAAGAAAGCATGGAAATGGAAACCTCTACTTCTACCAGTTCGCCGTCCCAACTCCTACTGCTCGTCCTCCTCTTCCTTCTGCTCTCTCCTTCACCTTCTCAGGCGGGAGATTCAAAATTAAATGAAAACAAGGAGAATACGCAAACCCTAAATGCAGTAGAGAGAGGCATCGGGATCACCGGCTTCAACAGCCATTGGGAAGCCCTAAGCTCCTGGGCCAAACTCGCATGGATGAACCTCCGCCCACCTGATTCTTCAGGGTGAGCTTTCCTGTTCTCTTTCCAATCTATTAATATAATCTAATTTCTTCATCTATATATCGTTCGATTTAAGTGCGTATGTTTGATTTATCTTGTTTTTGAGATGGCGAAGGTCGGGAACAGGGGAGAAGATGAAGGTGGCGTCAAAGAAGAGCTTTGAGACGAGCAAAGACACGGTGGAGAAGTCGGCGGCGGCGGCGGCCAAGGCGGCGGAGAAGGCGGTGGGGATGACGAAGGAGAAGATAAAGAAGGTTGTTTTCAACTCTAAGGGAGACCAGGATGCAGAGCTCTGAATCGATTTCAAGGATACATTAAATTATGGTTTTAAGTGAGGCAGTTTTCTTCGATTAATACATAATAGATATATCCACTTGTGCTTTTGCTAAAAAAATCATCCCAAACTAAGAGCTTTAGTCTGTTTTTTGGATTGATGTTAGATGGATTTCTCTTTATTTTTAAAGGAGCTGATGCTATTTCCTTAAGAACATTTAAATTATGGATTATTTCTATTTGACTAAAATTTTCTTGATGATTTTTAAAAAATTGTTTGACTGACTAAAAGCATTGTGTGAATTAAAAACTCAAATTTTCTCATAAAAAATTCCACAATTGAAACTACATATTTCTACTTAGGACATCCATATATTTGTATCAATAGAATTGAAGAAAAATTTTGACACTGCAGTAATAAAGAGTATGGATAATTCCATGTCATTTACTCTGGTAATTTCATTTGAATGCCTTCAGGTGGTGGCCTCAAAGTGCATACCATTTCTCTCGTCTTCCCAAAATATACCTGCCAATGTATCAGAACTCTTTCTATGAGAAAAAGCAAATCAGTTGGAGTCAAACAACCTTCTGAACAGATAAATTTTGAGTCAGAAAATCTAATCAAAATCAGATTAGAATGAACGTTATAATCGTTAAATTTATTGATTACCTGATCCAGTGAATTCCTGAGCTTACCCTCCATCTCCTCAATCATCTTTCCCATATTACAAATGTGACCATCTGCGACTGCTAAGTCACAGTTCATCTACGAAAGAGAATACAGGATGAGAATGGTGTAAAAGAAAATGTTTTAGTCATGCAGAAGATGCAACCACCTATAGAAATTACTCTATTGTCTTCATTAAATATTAATCTATGAGCAATATGAAATACTCATGTAGCCCAGTAAAACAATATTGAAGGAGCTTGAACTGCTATTTTGCTAGGCAGTTCATTATCAAATAAAGCATTTAGTTTTCTCTAGCATTCTCTCATTTAGTTTTAATCTTTTTTTTTTTCCTGCTTTTTAAAGCAGCTTTCGAGTATAAAATTTTAATTTTTATACTAAAAAAATGCTTTATGAAGCAGAAAGAAAGCCGTCCCAATCAAAACCTTAGTCGACCGCCCTTCTTTCCTAGCCCTGAAGGCCTTCTCGCTATCCCTTTAATTACCTCTATCCACCCTCTCCTTGATGCCTTATGCATTCAATTTTTTAATCTTGTTAATCTTCTCTTCACCTCGGGAGAAATTCTTCCTCTGAATCGGATTCTTCTCTTCTCTGCTAAAATTATTTGATAGCTCAAATTAACCGGCCATGTTCTATAGATTAACATGGATTATCGAAAAACAATTTCATAGGCTTTCTAATCAGGCAAAGAAAATGCAGCTAATAATATACAGTAAGGCTGCACTCATCAGACTTAAGGTTCATTTGGGACAGCTTTCTTACCGTTTTTTAAAGCAGCTTCAGCTTTCTTACCGTTTTTTAAAGCAGCTTTTTAGTACAAAAATCAAAACACTTATTTAATGCCTCAAAACATGAACACCAAAATGTTGTTATCAGACGGCTTAGGGGGCACAAGATTATCAAAAGGAAATCAATAAATGATACTAAAAGCTAGTTAGGAAATTTGAAGAAAATTACTTGTCTTCTGATAGATCCAGCCAAGTTAAAAGTGCCAGATGGTTTGCCTTCTGTAGTCAATGAAAGCATAACTGTGCTTGTCAAGCAGTAATGAGCTTTTCCGTCTTCCTCAGCTCCCACCTGATCAAACAGTTTATAAATTACAGATTGATGCTTGAGGTTAGTCTAAGAATAAAAAATGTTTCTTTCTCTACCTCGATAACATGGATTGCGTCCCAAGTCCCCTCATGCAAATACCCTCTTCTTCCATCCCCACTCTTTGAACCATCTTTTTGTGAGAGGTTAAATAAAAAGGAAACACTTGTTAATAGAAATTTAATAATAATAATAATAATAAGTCAAATTCTCATTTAAATTTAATAATAATAATAATAAATCTTCAGAAAAGAAGCATACCTTTCTTGATTAAGAAACAAGCCGCGAAACCTTGTCCATCATCTTCCCACATATATACAGAGGAAATACCACCTTCATAGTACCTAACAGAGCATTTGATATAGGAGTAGCTATTAATTTCCCAGAAGTAAGCAGTACACATTCAAGCGGAACATTGAGAAAAAACGGCTTTAAATTACAAATAATCACTGTGGTAACAAAGGTAGTTTCATGGTAATACACATTTTTAAAAACACCATATTTAGGTCTCTATTACCTTTTTGTCCTTCTCTTATGTCCTTCAGATTAATTTACGGTTTGGTTTTCAAATTAGGCATCCTAGTTTTAACTGTGATTAAATAACCATCCAGTGAAAACTGGATGTTCTAAATGACGAAAACACCCCAACCTTGTACAAAAGTTGCTTCCTCTATTTCTACAGTAAACATGCAAGCTCCTCATTTTATTTCATCACATTTCCCTTCCCTTTCTTAGCTAGAGAACAATGGATCAAGTAATGATAATAACAACAGTACTGCAAGCATATGGGATCTTTTTGCTTTACCATCCAAGCACAAGCTCTGCAAATGCAACATATAGTCAAAACTGAAAAATCCAGAATCCGTCCACAAACAGAGTTTGTGCAGCGAAAGTAGTGGTGGCCATCTCCTATGCTAATCTAAAACTCCTTCATTATGAACTTATTACAAGTGAAGCCCTCCGTTCTGCCATCCAGAGTATAAATGCAGCAGCACCTGAAGAAGTTAAAGTCTGTTTCGCAGCACTAAGTTTCGTCACTATCTGGTTTGCTTGACCATATAAGTTTGTTTCCCTACTATACAGAAAATAAAATGCCACTTAACACATTTGCATGTACTTGTTGTAAAGCTGGTGCAATCTAGGTTCTAAAACAAGTAGGAGAACACTAGGAATGTAATTGACAACGCTCCCTTTCGATATAATATAAACATACACAAATATTGAAAACTAAATAGGAAATGAAATTTAGAAAATTGATAACAAGGCACACAAAATAATCAAATAATTAAATTAAAATACCCTCAGAATAACCTTGTAAGGTCATCTCACATGCAAATCACGAAAATAGAGAATGATGCTCAGAGGAAAAATCAAACCAGTGGTTTGCCACAGAAATTTTGATCCACCTCAAGTCGGCGTTCCTCCGGCAAATATTAACAAATGGGGCATAACAACATCTTACACTCATAATATTTGGAGAAGAAAGATACAGGTGAAAGAGAAATCGTGGAGAGAAGAAATAGATACAAGACCGAGAAGAAGAAATAGCTATAGGAAGAAGATAGCTCTCAAGCAAGGAAGGAACCCTCAGGTTTGAATTTGTTTTCACCCACAACAACCTCTTCCAGCATCAAATTAGCCATATTATATAGGAGAAGGTCATAATTGCCCACTTAAATGTGCCACCCAAATAGACAATAGAAGCCAATCAAGACAACCACTTAATGAGACAATAAAACACTAGCCTAGGAATCAGCAAGGAGCGGAGTTGAACGGCCGGCAACAGGAAAACTAAAGCCCAGCTTGGAAAACCAAGGGCTAGCAAGGAAACCCTATAGCATGAAGAAATGCCCTTAGGTTAGCGAAACTCTTTTTTTTTTTTTTTACTGTACTAACACATGTTCGTAGGTTAGCGAAACTCTATAGCAAGAAGAAATGCCAAAAGTAGGGTTTCTTATTACAAGGATTGCTTGATGTAGGATGATAAAGTTAATTATTTCCTAATGAAACTAATATAATGCATAATATGAGTACATGCAAAGCAAAATTAGAGATCATAGATTACATAAAATTATTTAGCCACTTGCTTAATTTAAATATAAATACGTAAAATATAATTATAAGCTAACTAATAATAAAATGATTGAAATAATTCAAGAAATTGATCGAGGAATTGAAAACACATAATTAATTTCTACAAATTACATCAATTTTTTATCAAAATAAAGAACAAGTTAATATCAAATTGTATAAATAAATATAAAAAGTAATGAAATTACCAAAGCAAAAGAAAATAGTCTCACGCGCGAATTAGGAGACAACTTCTCCTGAAGTTAGTTAGCCACACTTGTGCCGCACTCAAAATAATCACAATTTCAACTTGCACTCACAATATTAAAATTGGTAAGAAAATTTTTCTTCAAGCAAAATGTTATCAAATTACATACCTCAAAATAACTATTTATAGGCTCTTCGTAACATAAGATGTTAGGTAAGATTGGCGTAGTATAATTTTAATCGAAGTTTAAATAAATAAATCTAGCCTCAATTTGAGGCTCCTAAAATCCTTATCGATAATTGAATACATCTTAAACCCAAAAGAAATAAAATTTTTAAATAAGTCATATCATTGTTTGCTCTAACTTTTCAATTAAAATGAATTTTTTTATTAGCATATATCATTGCGAAATCAATGATGAGGAGAGTAAAGGACCTCACTGGTCACGGTAAATAGCAAAAACATCATTTGCTTCACATTCTAGCTTCCTCATCTCAGCGGATGGGAGAGATCCATCTTCTAAAGGTGGATAATACTCGTTCGACCAAGGTGATCTGCATATTAAGGAGCATAAAACCAACAATTTCATATATAACTCTGGCATCACAGAACTTAAATAAAGGGAAATGTTTCCGATAGCAATATGTGAGTTTTTGAATTCGAAGTACCTATATGAATCTGCATCTCTATTATATTCACAAAGTATGAACTCCTTTTCACACTTTGCATCCATGAGGACCTGAAATTGATTGAAATATTAGTTCAAACCTTTTAGTTAGTATGAACGTAAAAAGACAACAAAAAGGCCCCTTTTTCTTTATGTACACAGTTACAATCTTAGATTGTAAACTCAACTGCTAGATATAAATGCAAGTCTAAGCATCAAATCTACAATTCTAAGTTAAAAAAAAAACTATTCAGGCATTCTGTAGAATTCTTTCAAAGAATAAGCATCGGTGCTCAAATTGAAATGGGAAAAAGTATAAAATGAATGGATCTTATTAAATATGCCAAATTCCATAAAAGTATAGTAGAGAAAAGTGCCATTATGACATATTGATCCAAAATTATAATAAGTTAGGCGGGTTAGTAATTACATTATTGCAATAGGAAGTATGAGTTGTCTTAGGCTTAATATGAAGTTCAGTGAGTGTTTGTAAATCTTTTTTTTGACCTAATCTTAGTATGAGTTAAGTTTTTGTCAATCTTTAAATACTCCTGTTTTGGAGCATTAGGGTATCCAGAAGAGATGAACTAATAACCTTTGCTCTGCAAATTCTCCTCTTTCCCCCTTCCAACCTTGCATTTTCTATAGTTATTGGCTTTCCCAAATCGCTGTTCATCTTTCTTTCTCCTGAGTTTATAATAATTGGTGCTCTGATTAAGATGCTTCATTTCATCTTGATACTCTATTACTCCCAAAGATAAGTATTTAAAGACCTACAAAGATTCATTTAGCTGCCTATTAAGAGAATAATACAACTCAAGCTACTTATCAAAATTATCTAACTATTAACCCACCGAACCTATTACAATTCCCTATTATATATATAGAGGAAAAAGTTGGAAAAATAAGCGTTCCTAATCCTAGAAGGGACCGAGGACCATTGGATTGGATAGGAGCCATAGCATTAGCAACCGAAGTATAAGGTTCAAAGAATTCCAACCTACTCAATGAATTACAGGAAATCAAAAAAATCTAACTACAACAATGAAAAACTGACGTAAATGTGTGATAAAGGAATATGCAACTGCTGCACTGATTGACATTTTATGATAAAATACTTGGAAAAGCCAAATACCCTAGCAGTTGAAGCCCATGGTAATTAAAAAAAAAAATCATTTCTCCAGCAAATAAGTTGATCTAATTGACGTTTTAGAATAAAATCCTTCAGTGATTCTCAAGAAGAAATAAACCTAGAGTCATAATTTCATGCACAACAGAGAGAACATAATCCAAATTTGATTTCCACCCGCAATCAGAAACACTTAACCAAAAACATAAACTCAATAGAATAAATAGATCAACAAAATTTTGGAAAGGGAAAGAACAAGACCTGAAGAGGCTGATCAACCTGGGAGAGAAGCTCGGAGGAGTGGGAGGGAAGAATGGCTAGCAAGGCTGAAAGCGCCGTCTCACCCTGGTTAGGCGAGATTCTCCTCATGAGATCCATCGCCGCCTCCATCCAGCCCTATCCAAATAACCAGAAATCTTTCTATTTAGCGAATCAGATAAAACAAGAAGAAGAAAATGAAAGCGAGGGAGATCCAGCGATAATCTTTGCTGTTTGCTGTAAAATAAGCTATATAGAAACGTCGTTTGAATTTTTTTTAATAATTATTATAGATTTTTTAAAAGATCTGATAATAAAATATTAAAATTATCACAGTTTAATTATAAAAACCATTTTTCATCATAAAAACAAATAATAATAAATTAAAAATACGACAACTATCTGAAAGACTAAACTATTCAAATATTATCTTAAAGATATTCGAATTTTACATCGCCATTTAGAAATAACCCCAATCCCCTACCTTATTAACGTTAATGCCATCATACTCTTTTATTAAGCCAATAATTGCTAATTGAGTTTTATTTTTTTATTTTTATTTTTTCAGTTGAGAGTCGTGGGCCTATTGTCTTGCAAATTGGAGTGCGAACGAAGAATTTTATGCGGCTTGATTTTGTCAGTGCTCATTAGGAGATAAGATATTTTTTTAGTTGTTTTGAAATTCCTTTTCTGATTAAAAATGAAATTGCTCAAATTGATTGAACGCCTCCATAAATTTTGCCGATATACTCTCTCGCAAATTTGGACTGAATAAATTTGATAACAAACTAATTTACTAGGCTATAGAATGCAATACAATTTATAATTATTTAATCATATATTATACTTGTTTCGTCCTGGAATATTCGCGGCGGTAGAGAAATATATGGTTTAACGTCTTAGCATTGTACGAAGATCCAGCACACAAGCAGATAAGAGAGGGGGTAAAACATTTATAAGAGACACTAGAGTTTTTACTTGGAAAACCTCTGAAAAGGGGGGAAAACCACGGGGCTTGGCCCAGTTTGAATGAATCCACTAGTATTTGCAGTCGATTACAAATGAGGCCCTTCCTTTGGAGAAGGCCTTGTATTGATGTAACAAATATACATCATATAGATTGCATTACATGGTATGAGTTACATATACATGTTTGTTTGGTCGGAAGGATCGTAGTCGGCAGGAGGACCGGCGTCAGAATAAGACGTTGTTGTTGATGGAGGTCGGACGGACCTAGTTGGCAGAAGACCTGGGTCAGAAAGACCGTTTTTGGTGATGGAGGTCGGAAGGACCCATACGTAGGCCGACGGAGGTCGGAAAGGACGTAGTCGGCAGTATTCTGGGAGAACGTGTGGATCAGGTCTGGTGGCCTGTCGAGCATCAAGGCCTCAAGTAAATAGTCCGGCGGAAGTCTGGGCCTCATGTTGATATTCTGGTGGAAGCACACGGCCTTTGATGATGATCTTGGCGAGACAAGGGCCTCTTGGCAAAGGTGGAGGGCTTTGCGAATGGTGAGGCCGCTGGTAAAAGTGAGGGGTCTGGCGAAGGCTTAAGAGCCTCTGGCGAAGGTAGGCCTTCTGGCGAAGGTGAGGGCCTCAAATGAAGACGGTCAGGCCTGAACGTGGGCCTTAAGTAGAACGTTGGGCCTTTAGCCAGATGTCAGAACTGAGCAGGATGTCGGAGCCTTCAGCAGAAACGTCGGGTGGCTGAACGTCGGGCCTTGAGCAGAATTGAGCCTTCAGCCAGACGTCGGGTCTTGAGATGGTTGTGCCGTGGCGAAAATCAGGCGGTTGTGCGGCGAAACTCCGGCGGTGTTCGACGAGCTCCGACGGTGGGTCCGCGGCTCCGGCGGTGGTCGAGGAGGGAGCTTCTTCCTATTCTTCTTCTTCCTTTTCTTGCTTGGACCCCCCTGTGAAGAATGAGTGCTCTATTCTATAGATTGCTGGAGTGGCATTAGCTTCGTAAATAGACTGTAGAGATCAGGGAGTGAATAGGGAGTGGAATGAAGTACGGTCGGCATCGGAATCCTACGGACCAGTGCACCGTTTCGTTGGACATTTGAAAGTCTTAGAGATGAGGAATTTGGGCGATCTTAGGGCTCGTTGGATTCGTCTCGTCGAGCCGTTAATTTCTTGAGTAAAAGCTCATTAAATTTGGAGACCGTTGATTATTCAAATTGTGGTTTGAACCTATCCAACAGTGCTTTGGGTTCATGTATTCAGACCCATTTAAGCTCGCATCGAGTTGAATTTGGGTGTCGTTGCGGTTCGTAATTTCCGAGACACTCCAGTTCGACTATAAAGTTTGCTGAAATCGGAGAGTTCGGATGGCCTTCGAATTAATTTTTGAGTTTCCAATTTATTTTTGCATCGAAATTTGCGTCCAATTAGATAATTATTTGAGGACGGTATCAATCTCATTCTTAAAATAAATAAAATAAGATATTTTTTGAAATAATAACATTTAAAAAATATTTTAATAAAAATGAATAATAAAATAAATTTAAAAGTAATGTTATCTTTTAAACTGGGCAACTCAGACTCGTAGCCCAATCATTGCCTAAAATAACAACGAACATCACTTATAAAATTGTTTTTTTTTAAAGTCCGTCAATAATTATAAAACTCTAATTGAGTAACAGATATAATAAACCTTATTATTATTTTTTCTTTGAAATATTTTGAGCTGAAAAATCATTACTGAAATTAAAGCAAATAAATTGTAAGTCCTATCTCCACTCAGATCATTACAAATTAAACAGTTTAAATTATACTCATTCTGAAAATATAATTTAATCATATTCTTTTTATTTTCTATTAATTTCAAAATCAGTCCCCATCCCTTTATATTCATAAAACACTAGATTTCTATTTTCTCATAAAAAGAAAATCAATATATATATTTTTTAAAAAAATAAAATATATCCATGTCATGTTGAACATATACACAGAAATAATAGGCTTGACATAACTTTCTATGAGATATGAACTATAAATAATTTATTTAAATGAATAGCCGAATATTACTAGATCAAGACAAAGAACATCAAATCTTTATCTCACTACATATGATGACATTATGAACTTTTTAATTTTTCATTTTATTCTGTTGAGTTATATTTTCATTTAAATTTAATAAAAAAAAGATAATTTCTACAGACCGACAAAATACACAAAATGTATTCGACATTATAGAAAGCATGCCTACTCAATATTTGGTGAACATTGCACCTATCAACAACTAGAGACACAGACGTAAAAGATTTAAGATAATTAAAAGCAAATAAGTGATTTGCTAAGACTTGGGGCATCTCAAACCGAAAAACTCAATTTCCACTCTAAAATGTAACAAAATTTTAAAATACAATAATTCATCTCTAATTGAACGACATTCTCCTGTGAATGTAACCATTTTCTCCTCTTTTGCACGCTTTTTCGGCAAATCCTGTAGACCGATTTTTTTTAGTAGGTGAACAGTCCGATGTCAATATTGACGTCGCACTGTTCACCTACCAAACTTTAACGTGAGATCTAGAGTTCGAATGGCCGACGACATACAATTATATGCAGTTCGATTGGAGATGATCTAAAGAGTATAATATATGATCTGACAATTACTTTATCTTAATTGATGCATATGCATTCCAAAGAATTGTGGCATCCATCACTTTGGGATTTTTTTTTTCTTTCACAGTTAATCACAACTTCAGCCTCATAAAAACTTTTCACGATGATATCTGTTATAAGTGTAATAACTATGGAAATTTTAGTAGGACCTTTTTAAAGAAAAAAACTGCTGGAGCATGAAAACTCATCATTAGTTCTATCTCATTGCACATAAAAATCAATCAATCTATTATACGTGGCAACAGCTGAATATTTAGTCCCATTTGCAAATTTTTAATTATACATCAAGTTAAATTGGGCTTCATACATACATAAAACTTGAAACCATTAAAATAGCAGAACTGGTATGATGTTAGAGCTTGCTAGGCAATATTCTCAAATCACTCTCCATTGGAAGATCAATTTCTGAAAAAGATTTCGAGAAAAATATCCTGAAAACAGAATGGGATCAGTAACAATAAATTTCTTATCTACTATGGACAACTCTTAAGCTCTTTATATATCTATATATATAGGTACTGGGCTGTTGGCACTTCTTATATATCTACCCCGCCTTACATAAACAGAGGTAAGAGCTTATAATAATGGGAATATAATTATTAATTTTAATTTATACAACAACAACAACAACAAAATGAAGCCTTTATCCGACTATGTGGGGTCGTCTACATGAATCCTTTTTCTCTATTGTGACATGTTAAGAGTCAAATTCTCATTTAAATTTAATAAAGAAATATCATTTCTAATATTTTCTAACAAGTATTTTAAGGTCTACCTATACATTTCTTAACATAAGCCAAATCTAATACATCTACTCTCCTAACAGGGTCATTAGAAGGCTACCGTTTTACATGACTAAACCATTTAAGGCGACTCTCTCTAATCTTATCTATCACTGAAGCTACTCCAATATTTTTACGGATATGCTAGTTTTGTATCATGTCTCTAAGAGTAAATCCACTCACCCACCTTAGCATCCTCATCTCAAGAACATTTAACTTAATATTATGATTCTCTTTTAATGACCAACATTCTACGACATAAAGCATTGCAGGTCTCAACACCGTCTAATAAAATTTTCCCTTAAGTTTGATTGGTACTTTTATATCACACAACAAACCTGAAGCATTCCTCCACTTCAATCATCCAACTTGAATTCTACTAATAATATCCCCATCTATTTCACTATCACTCTGAACAATAAACCTAAGATATCTAAAATGAGTACACTTATTAAGGACTTAATCACTCTAAGTCACAAACACCCTACTAGATCTATTACTACTAAAATTACATTCCATGTATTTGATTTTAGATCTATTCAAACTAAAACCTTTAGACTCTAAGGTTGACCTCCATAATTTGAGTTTACCTTCAGCTCACTCTCTATTCTTATCAACAAGAAGAATATCATCAGCAAAAAACATACACTAGGGTCATCCGCTTGCAAATGTCTATAAAATGTCTTTTCCCCCAAAAAAAATCAACCTAAACATGCTTATCCTCAGCATAAGGGATCTACTTATGCCCCAATACACAGCCAAAATGCTTGAAAATGATTATAAAGAATGCTCCACTAAACATTAGACATCAGTTCAAAACTATGAAATTACAAATTCTAACATGAGAACAAGAAGCATGTTCCCAATATGATGTAAATCATTGAAGCGTTGTTTTCTACGATTAGTTTCAGTATTAATTGGAACTCCGAAACTTCATCAATAAAGCATACATTAGACAAACCTCAGCAATCATCCCATACCCCAAATTTTGGGTGGTTCAAAAAAATGACTATCCACATCAAGCCATTCATTTACAACCAACGCCTCATATTAAACCAATTATTGAGCTTCAAACTATACCATCCACACATCATACTATACGAACGACATGATAATACTGTATGGATGAACTTAATTCAGTAGGTATGATTCTGTATTACACATCGTATTGAACAAACACCTGTTCGTACTAGAAGATCTATTTAGTCAAAGATCATAGAGATGACCCCTTGGACGAATGACAAGACAAATATCAAATATGATTTTACCAAGTCTTACACTATTCGGATGGGATGATTTATTTTCTTCTGATTGTCCAGTACAATCTAACACATGTTATATATAGGAAGGGAAATTTCATTTCCAAAGTACACAACCTTCTCAACCCTCTTCTTCTTCCAAGTCTTCCTTCTCCCAAATTCTTGTCTTTTGTAGTCCCGACGGCAGGAAAGATATTCGAATCAGAAGATGGCGAAGTTACCTACCATCGTTATAATGCTGTACAAATCACATCCTCTAGAGTCCTGAACCAAGAAATCATTCAATATTAGGTATTAGACCTCTTGTAGGCACAACTCTTCGGCCCCTCACCCTGACATTTCCATTTAATAGTGAGCTGCTTCATGAATTTTTTACAAGCCTTAGAATTAATTCCGACCGCACATTCTTGCAATCTTATGTCTGTAGGCACCCGGTAGAAATCACTTATCAGGACTTTCACAAAATCCTTCAAGTGTCCATCACTAGTACCAAACCCAACACAATCGCCATTGCTAGTGATTAGAACTGGACACAGGTCAATCTCACCCTTAGGAATAACACCCTAAAACAACACCAGTCATTAGTCAGCACCTTAGTCTTAGATGTTAGTATCATCCAGCACCTCCTTTGAATATTGATTATCCCCAAAGTTGGCGATAGGGTTAACATTGCAACTCTTTTGTCCATACTTACATATTTTTGTATGACCGGCAAAGAATTCAACGTAGCAGATATGATTATCTGATATATTGAAAACCTAACCACCATTAGAAACCTTAGGGGACGTTATAGGCAAAACCTAGCATTAGGACACACCATAGTCTGCGTATTAGATACAAAATATAATTTAATGTATCCTACACCAGCGGGCCACTTATATTCTACACGGATAGCTCATTTCATCTCCTCGATAGTGACAGACGTAGCGGAGCACAACCGACAGAGGAGCATGACTCAGATAAGGAAGGGTGAGCACCAACCCCCCGAGGCACCACCAGCCTACGTCGCACTAGTACCTATCTTTCAGTGACTTATGGATTGAGCGATTTGAGCGCTTAGAGCTACGATTGAAGATGCATATTCAATAATCGAACACACATTGGGAGTAGATGCAACAACACAAGACATATCATGCATGATTCATTGATCAGTTCGCTTCACTCTACCGCTACGTCAAGTCACCAGCACCACCGGATTAGGGCCAATTTGATGAGTGGTGTGTTTGTTGTTTGTTGTTTATTGTGTTTGTGCCTTCTTTTGTTAGTCTTTCATTTTCATTGTAGTTATATTCCTCTTTTTGGAGATATCAAAAGCGGAAGTAGGCGTAATGTTATAGTTGTATTAGTTTTTTGATCATTGTAGTTTTTGCTTTGCAGTTTCTTTTTGTTTTCAATATGTGTGTTGCTTCTCCTAGTATACGTATTGTTATATTTTGTTTAAAGAGTGTGTTTCAAAAAGGAGGATCTACATATGATATTTATTGATTTAGAAAAAGCATATGATAAAGTTCCAAGAGAAGTGCTACATTAGGAAACACCATAGTCTGCGTATTAGATACAAAATATAATTTAATGTACCCTACACCAGCGGACCACTTCCTTATATTCTACACGGATAGCTCATTTCATCTCCTCGACAGTGACAGACGTAGCGGAGCACAACCGACAGAGGAGCATGACTCAGATAAGGAAGGGTGAGCACCAACCCCCCGAGGCACCACCAGCCTACGTCGCACTAGTACCTATCTTTCAGCCACCACCTCCTGACTTATGGATTGAGCGATTTGAGCGCTTAGAGCTACGATTGGAGATGCATATTCAATAATCGAACACACGTTGGGAGTAGATGCAACAACACAAGACATATCATGCATGATTCATTACTCACTCTAACGCTACTTCAAGTCGCCACCACCACCAGATCAGGGCCAATTTGATGAGAGGTGTGTTTGTTGTTTGTTGTTTGTTGTTTGTTGTTTATTGTGTTTGTACCTCAATTTTTCTTGTACCTTCTTTTGTTAGTCTTTCATTTTCATTGTAGTTATATTCCTCTTTTTGGTGATATCAAAAGCGGAAGTAGGCATAATGTTATAGTTGTATTAGTTTTTCGATCATTGTAGTTTTTGCTTTGCAGTTTCTTTTTGTTTTCAGTATGTGTGTTGCTTCTCCTAGTATACGTATTGTTATATTTTGTTTAAAGAGCGTGTTTCAAAAATAAAAAAAAAAATAAATTAAAAGTTTTCCCTGTTTTAAAAGATATCAGTTAGTGAGGAAGAGAACTTACGGAAAAGGAGAGTAGAGGTATTAGATTTGACTTATGTTAAGAAAGGTAGGGGTAGACCTAAAAAGACTTGGTTAGAAAATATTAGGAATGACCTTTCTTTATTAGATTTAAACGAGATTTTGACTTTTAATAGGACACAATGGAGAAAAAGGATTCATGTAGCCGACCCCACGTAGTGGGATAAAGGCTTGATGTTGTTGTTGTTGTTGTAGTGTGTTTCAAAAATAAAAAAAAAATTAAATTAAAAGTTTTTCCTGTTTTAAAAGATATCACTTAGTGAGGAAGAGAACTTACAGAAAATTTAAAAAAAAAAAATCTTACTTGTAAAATTAAGATTCCAACCAATAATGTTTGACACATAAAAAATGGGGAGATTGTTGAAATCTGGGAGCCCGACGTTATGTTTTGATGATTACAAATATTATTAGATGAATATTTTACTTATTACAGCTTTACATATTGCACATTTTTTTCTTGTGTGTCACTAATTTTTTCAGATAGAATATACACTGAGCAAAAATGAAAAGTCAAGGGCCAAGATAGTGTTGTGTCAGTGTATAAGTCAATTTTTATTTGAAAGAGTAGATTTTTTATTTTTCTTGAGTCATTTTTTGTATTAGATGTATGTTGGCTTAGCAACCATGCATACATATACAAGATGGAGTAAAACTAAATATTTGAATTTTTCTGTTAATTGAATTGTACAATCTATTTAAATTAAAAATTAATTCAAGTGTTTAATTAAACCATATTAATTAAATTGGGTTGTAACTAATTGTATTGTACAACCTCCAATCATACAGGATGATCAGTTATTTTGAATTTTTGATAAAACCCTGCTGTGGAATCTATATTACCTAAATTAGGCTAATTTGAATTTTAAATTTTGAACTAATCGTATTGTATGAATATTAATTAAAATAGGTTCATTTAATCTTATAGATTAAGAGATCAAATCAAGATCTAATCAACATTTAATGATTATATTGCACAATCAATATCGTATAGTCCAATTCACCTAGAGATCACATGGATGAATTTGGTTTGTCCTGGAATATCTGTGAATTGATATAACTAATCATAATGAACGATTCCAAATCGTATAAGACAATCTTCGACAGAATTGCACATATCATATTGTACAAACTGTGTATAGTATTGTATGAACAAAACCAGATGTGCCAAAATGGGTTTTTGGATCGAGTTCAGGTCCAACTCAAAATTGATTGCCTCTCGATTGATCCAACTCAAACTAGATTGTTTGTACAAACGGGTCAAAAATCTGAACCCGGACCCAACCTGCCCCAAATCTGGGTAGACCCAACAAGAGCGAGGGCGGAACACGTCGAGAGCTGTGCGAGAGCAGAGCGGGTAGCGGGGATCTGGGCAAGTGCGACCTGCGATGCGGGCAGCGTGGGCAAGACAAACAGGTAATGTTGGCGGGACGCGATGTGGGTGCTAGCTAAGCACGCAGTGCAAGAGCGAGCTATACCTATACGGGTTCGTTTGCACAACGAGATGTTCGGATTGTGTGAACAGTGGAGTGGGAAGTGCAGGCGGGTTATTCCAAGATAGCGGGTTGACCCGAACCCGACCCAATTTTTCAAACGGGTTGGAAATCAAAACCCGAGCCCGAACCCGACATCTTAATTAAACAGGTCAACCCAAAATCAAATTTTTTGGTCGGGTTTAGGTCGGGTTTTCAGGGTCGTCTCATAAATTGACACCCCTAAATAAAAACTTAGAATTTGAAATTTAGGATTTTTTAAAATCCCACTTCATAAACTCATTATTACTTGAGGGAAAGAGTTCTAAAGTAGTTAGAAATATTTTTCCTTTCTATGAGAGAGCTTGAAGAGAGTTCACATCACAAAGGAGAGAGAGGAGGTAAGGTTGAGAGAAGGCGAATGCCTTTAGGGAGTCAAGGGGTGTGAGAGGGGTCACACGACTCTCCGGCTAGCCTGCACCTTGGGTTCTCCTATTGTATTTAATAAAGATCTTAGAGAAGAGCTCTAGGAAGAAGAGTCTTTGGGAGAAAGACTCCTAGCCAAGGAGGCTAACATAAGCATCTCCTTTAGATGCGAGAGGATGGACGACATCTCCGCCAGGCCGAGGAGGGAGATACTTCGAAGTTTGTAAAGGTCATTCTCCGCCTAACTGTGTGCTGAAAGAGTTTAAGTTAGTGCAATACCCAAAGCGGAGGACCTTTGGGGAGTTAATGTAGGTCAATTCGACCGAACAACTATAAACCTGGTTTACCTATTCATTTTTTTCTACAATTTACTTTTCTTGCAATTTATTTTATTGTAATCTGGTTTTATTTTGATTATCTTTGTGAAGAATTTTTTATGATTGATCTCGATTAAACCTGTCTTGAAATTCAGAAAAGAAAAACAAGAAAAAAATTATTTTTGAAAAAAGTTTTAAAAAAATCTTCATTTGCTTTTGTTTTGGTGTTTTGAATTGTTTATTCTAATAAACGCTTTTGTATATTTCAAGTTTTGAATTTTAAGCAAAAGTTTAAAAGCCCACTTCATAGACTCCTTATGCCTTGAGGGAAAGAGTTCTAAAGCAGTCAGAAACATTTCTCCTTTCTGTGATAAAACTTGGAGAGTGTTCACATCACAAAGGAAAGGGAGGTAAGGTTGAGAGAGGGAGAATGCCTTGAGGGAGTTAAGGGCTGTGAGAGGGGTCACACGATTCTCCGGCTATCCTGCACCTTGGGTCCTGTTGCTTGGCAGAGCTCTTAGAGAAGAGTAGAGCACTTAGAGAAAAGCTCTAGGAAAAAGAGTCTTTGAGCGAAAGACTCCTAGCCGAGGAGGAATAACATCAGCATCTTCATTGGGCTGTGTAGGCGAGAGGAGGGACGACATCTCCACCAGAGCAAGGAGCCAAAGGAGGGACGACATCTCTGCCAGGCCGAGGAGGGAGCTTCTTCAGAATATGTAAAGGTCATTCTCCACCTAAATATGTGTTGAAGGAGTCTAAGTTAGTACAATACCCAAAGAGGTGGACCTTTGGGGAGTGGACGCAGGTCGATTCAACCGAACCACTATAAATCTGGTTTACCTATTCATATTTTTCCACAATTTATTTTATTGTAACCAGGTTTTATTTTGATTATCTTTGTGAAAGAATTCTTGGTGATTGATCTCAGTTAAACCTTGTTTTGAAATTCAGAAAAGAAAAAAAAAATTGTGTTCTAAAAAGTTCAAAAAAAGTCTTCATTTGCTTTTATTTTTTTGTTCTAAATTGTTTCTCTCTTAAACTCTTTTGAATATTTCCAATCCCCCGCCCCTCTATGTGTGCCATTTGCACCTTCAAGTGATCTCAGAGCACTTTCAATTTCTAAAATTTTATTGCTTGAGTGACTAGGAGGTGTTCAAGCTATAATAACATTCTCGTCTCTATTTTTTTCTTCTTTAACTCTTCATTTCCAAAATCAAATTGAGTGATTTTATTTCTCATTTTCTGCCCACCTGATATCACTGAACACAAGATTGTCAATCAATTTAACATCAAGGGGAGAATATTTTTTTTAATATCTGATTACTAATAAATACAAAAATAAAAAAGATGATCCACTTGACATGATTGCAGGCCAAGTCATAAAAACCCATGGCAACTTCTGAGACGTTATCTTTGTGAAAGAATTCTTGGCGATTGATCTCATTTAAACCTTGTTTTGAAATTCAGAAAAGAAAAAAAAAATTGTGTTCTAAAAAGTTTAAAAAAAGTCTTCATTTGCTTTTATTTTTTTGTTCTAAATTGTTTCTCTCTTAAACTCTTCCGAATATTTCCAACACCCCCCCACCCCGCCACAACCCCGATGTGTGCCATTTGCACCTTCAAGTGATCTTAGAGCACTTTCAGCTTCTAAAATTTTATTGCTTGAGTGACTAGGAGGTGTTCAAGCTATAATAACATTCTCGTCTCTATTTTTTTCTTCTTTAACTCTTCATTTCCAAAATCAAATTGAGTGATTTTATTTCTCATTTTCTGCCCACCTGATATCACTGAACACAAGATTGTCAATCAATTTAACATCAAGGGGAGAATATTTTTTTTAATATCTGATTACTAATAAATACAAAAATAAAAAAGATAATCCACTTGACATGATTGCAGGCCAAGTCATAAAAATTCATTGCAACTTCTGAGACGTTTTAATTATTTACTAGACGATTTCCATCAAAAGCCACACACTGGTGTATGAACATGAGTAACTACTTGTAAAAAATCTTACTACAAGCAACCTAGCTACCAAAAACGGGATAGTTGATTAAGAAATCGAAGACAATGGAAAACTATTGCAAATTCTTGGATAAGTAAGAAAAAACATACATTTCTTTTCACCTTCATAGGATGATCGACCCAGGAAGAATATCCTATATGAAGCTTCATGGGCTATGTCCAAAGCTAGATCAGAAATTTGGCCTACTATAAGCAGCTTTCATGGCCCACTTGGCTCTTCTTTCTTCGTATGATGCTGGAACAAAACTAAACTAATTATTAACAAGAACGGTTAAAGCTGATGATGGTCAGGCTGGGTTTTTAAATTTGTATCTATCAGATAGAATCGTTAAATCTCATAGATCACATTTAAGTAAATATTGTACACACGTTTTGATGTATTACTACATGCCATATCTTAAGGAAGCGCAAGGATGAACTAAAGTAATATACAAAGAGTAGTCGAGAATGGCCATCAAAGTGAATATTTGAATCACTAACAACATATTCATATAAATCATTTCAGTGGAACGGTACAGTAGCACAAACTGAAATGCAACTAAAAACTGCCAGTACTTTTTTTATTCTTTCTCCATTCATGTTATCCACTTCTAAATATGCTGTATGTTGATATTTGTTTAAGTAATATCCTATTTTTCTAAGGTAATGTGTAAATTTGGTTCAATTCACTTGTACCCAGAAATATCAACTTTTAAAAAAATCATCAAGAATCATGCTATTGTATTCTACTCGCTAAATTGGTATATAGAAGTATAAACTAATTTGCAAAAGTGTGAAATTTATAGAATTAGTTTTCATTAGCATTTTTTCCTAAAGTTTTATTTTACTATTTATTTATTAAAACTATTGTAGCTACAAGATCCGACGTCACTAATTGTGGCATGCAGCAGCAATGATATTAATCAACAATGGTGATTAAGTCCTTTGGCGAAGTTGATGTTTGTGTAATTATTAAATTTTTTTTCATTAAACCATCCACTAGTTGGACTCTCGGCAAGTCAATTCCTGTGATGCAAATCACGGGAGTATGAGGGCATGCCGAACGGTTGAAGGAGAATTTGGCTGGAAGAGGAAAATTCAACTGGAACACGAAAATTCGGCTGGGGAAGAAGAAGGAAAAGAGAGGGAAAAAAAGAAGATAAAAATGAAGAGAAAAGGCCAAAAAAATATATTATTTTTTTTAAATATTCATTTGGTGAAAAGTTCTTAATTTGAATAATATTTAATTATTAATTAGGAATTCTATAGTATACTAGGAGGGAATATTTGAGGTCAAACTGTGTATGAAGAAAATAAATTGTGACGTATGTTATTTTGGGAATAATTTAATATATTTTTTTGGTGCAGGTAGAGATTCATATGAATTGTCATATTTATGAATATGGATTGGTGCAGGTGACTTACGAGCGTAAAAAGTTACAAGGTGTCTTAATTGAGGAAGCAACTCATCGCGGAGATAAGATATACAATTTCTAATTCAGAAAGCAAATACTTCAACCTCTTTCATGTACCTTTACAATGGAACCAGTTTAGCGTGCTACTCATTAACAATTCTACACAATATTGAATAGATCATATATTTCTGAATGTATCAAAAAAATCCATGCCTTACTGAATGTTACATTGTAAAATAAAAAGCATGTGATCTATACAGACTTTCTCTTATACGTGCATTGCATACCTATTTATTTTAAATTGACATATAACAAGTGTAATTGATAAAGCAAATGCAGTGATTAGAATCTGATAGACCTAAAAAAATGTCATATTAAGTGATAGGTAGGTGGGGCAGTGTGACCCAAATGAAGGCTTTATATGATGAAGCCAACACGCTACAATGAATCCTATGGGCTATGGAGGCAATGTGATCTCAGTATGATGAAGCCTATGGGATAGAACTAACTTAGACCTAGGCAACTTGACATGACATATTCTTAAAATTTTTCCTTAAGTCTGACGGGTAATTATATATCAAACAACAAACCCGATGTATTTCCCCACTTCAACCATCCAACTTGAGTTCTACTAATAATATCCTCATCTATTTCACCATCACTTTGAATTATAGACTCAAAATATCTAAAATGTGTATTATTTTTAATGGCTAGATCACCCAACGTAATAATCCATGTGGTGCATCATAAGTAGAATACTCCTTAGGAATAGTAAAAACTATTTTAGTACTTACTTTTCTAAAGTTTTTTATATAGTTCTATTATTATGCTATAAATAATAGCTATAGGAAGTAGGATATGATGAAGTAATTTTGGAATTAACAGCATTTTGTTGTTTTGCTCTTATGAGCTATTGGTATCACCTTCTTTTATGATTCTCACCACATCATATGGTATCAAAGCTAGAGCTTCCATCAATCCTTGGCGGTGATCAGGGTTTGGATGTTTTAGGAAGACCATGGACGAAGGAATACATACGACCCTTGATGAAGATCAGGGTTTGGATGCTTTGTGAACAACGCAAGCGAGTGTCACAAGGCGATCTCTATGAGCCGACATCCATACCAGTGATTCAACCTCCACCAGACAGCAACCATACTTGTGAATCCATCTTCACCGATGGAAACCATACCATCGGATAGCTTCCATCTCCGACTCAAGTGGTCACCCTCCTCAAATCCCAATAAATCCACCATCTACGAAACCACAACAACATCACCTTCTTTGTTTGACTACAAAATAAGCCAAAACACCCCTCTCATCCTTCGAACTTTCTCCTCTCCCAATCACGTCACTCCCACAATCACAGTAGCAGTTCTCAATTCCTCAGTTCCTCACACCTGCACGGGATCGAACTCACCCTCTCTGTCAAGCTGACTATAACTTTCTTTGCATAACCCAGCCACAAGCACCCCTCCATCTATCCACGACTCAAATTCCTGTGATCCCCCCACTCTGCCTGTGTCTTGTGTCTCCAAACCCTAGGTTCGCCCAACTCCCACAATCTGCCCCAACCATGCACGCGACCAACACCTTCTCCCGCATGCAATTTCTTCAGATACACCGAAGGTATGATGTGATACATAATAAGCAGAATACTCCTTAGGAATAGTTAAAACTATTTTGTACCTACTTTTCAAGATAGTTCTATTTTTATGTTATAAATAATAGTTGTAGGAAGTAGGATATGATGAAGTAAAAAAAAAAAGATATGCGAAGTATTTTTGAAATTAATAGCATTTTGCTATATTGCTCTTATGAGCTATTGGTATCACATTCTTCTACGATTCTCACCATATCAATAATCCCCCACTAGATCTATTACTAAAATTACATTCCACGTATTCAATTTTAGATGTATTCAGACGAAAGCCTTTATACTTTAAAGTTGAACTCCATAATTCAAGTTTTTCTTCAACTCTCTCTCTCTAGTCCTATCAACAAGAACAAATATCATTAGCAAAATGCCAAAAAGCATGCACCATAGTACATCCTCTTGCAAATGAGTAGTAAGAACATCCATAATTAAAACAAAAAAAGATATGAGCTTAAAGCTGATCCTTTATGTACCCAGCTGAAATAGGAAAATATTTGGTCAAAGTATTTTGCGTTGGAACATAAGTAAAAACTCCTGCATACATGTCCTTAATGACTTGAATATAAACATTATTAACTCATTTCTTTTCTAGAACTCTCTAGAGCACTTCTCTTTGTTGACCTCTCTGTGTTATCCAAAAGATACAAAAGAAAAGAGGTTTAAAAAATTGCTTACCTGTAATGACCATCCCGCAAATTCTGCTCAAATCCCGCTGAATCCCTGTGTACGCGGCGCCGTTTGAGTCGCATCCCGCGATTCCTGCTCAAATTCTGCGGCAGTTCCTCGGTCGAATGCCCAAATACGTCGTTAAATACCGAACCCACAGCCTTCTTCGGAGCTCTCTCGCTGCTCTCGGCTCTCTCCCATTCGCAAATCCCACAACCTCCACGACCGTCACTCTTCTCCTCTCTGACCAAATCCCGACCTCCCGATCTCTCTCAACTCCAAGCTGAAACCCAAGCTCCTAGTCCGACGCCCAGCTTCCCCTTCCTCCTCTGCCCTAAGCCATAAGAACCGGCCTGTAGCAAATCCCAATCCCCCTCTTTATCTTTCCGACCCAGCTTGATCCACACAGTCGAGAGAGAGAGAGAGAGAGAGAGAGAGAGAGGGCTGTCATTCCCCTTACCTCAGCCGCACCCCACAGCAGCCTTGCCCGATCTCCTTTCCTCTTCCTTAGCCGCAAGAGGTTCTCTTTATATATATTAATATATATAAGTTATGTATATATTAATATATATATAACATATATATATATATATATATATATATATATATATATATATATGAGCGTA